GTAATAAGAGACTTGGGCCGTGGACACAATAAGAAACACGTATGCCTTTGCCGCTTTCTTCATAGCATCATTGTATGGTACTTTGAGGGGTGTGGTTGGCCTTGCTGTGAACACAGACAACCAGAGTAGACACTCGCACCTCTCCGGCCATTGTTCTGTTGATTCGAGAACGGGAAGGAGAGTGAGAGCGAGATTGAAAAGTAAGTGAATGGAGCGGAGGAGAGAGTGAAAAGACAAAAAGGGAAAAGGGATGACTGCTTAGAGAGCCGAAGGGACGTGAAAGAGGCTGCAAAAGAGAATGAGAGAATGAGTGAAGTAGCATCGGTAGCGACAACAGAAGAAGAGACAGACAAGGAGCAGTGTGAGAGTGAAGCAGTGAAATTGTTGTTGCCCAGAGAGAGAAGAAGAGAGAGCGAGGTATCGACAAGAGAAGGAAAAAAAAGAGAGAGAGGTATCGACAAGAAAAAGGGAAAAAAAAAGAGAGAGATATCGACAAGAGAAGGGGAAAAAAAAGAGAGAGAGAGAGGTATCGACAATAAAGTGCTCCCGACTTTTTTTTTTTTTTTTGGAAATGCTCATTCATCAATGTTCCGACCGGCCCCCAGATTCCTGTCATTCATTCTCTCGATTCGTAGCCTCATGCATTACCACTTGTTTCTTTTTGCATGGACCGACATTGGATCATCGTCGGAATCGAAATGCCTGAATTGAATGAATCGGTTAATTGGATTAATGCATCCCGATTTTCTTTTTCAACTTGTGCGGTCTTTTTAGTTTCTACCTAGCTTTAAACTTGAATGAGTTACGTGCTGAATCCTATAGGACCATCTTTCAAAAGTTGGAGCTCCTACCCAAAGTCTTTTGTATATGATCTATATGCCTGATTTTACAGGGGTTTAGCACGTGTTTAGCTGTTGTTTTATACCATAAGCTCAATGCACTTTCTACTGGAAAACTGAAAGCTGGCCCATGTAGAGGACATGGTGTGGGATCTGAAAGTTTTGAAAGTATGAAGCCAGCTACTCTGAATATATTGTAATATCTTGACAAGGTGTAACGTCATGCTAACTCCATGTAATAGTACCTACTTTAGTGATATCTCATGTTAACGATATGATAATCCCGTACCTTTTCTATATTAGTGATCCACACCTGGAGTGAAGTAGTGAAATTGTTGTTGCCCTGAGAGAATAAAAAAATAGGGGGATCGACAAGGAATGAGAAAGAGAGACAGGCAGAATAGTGAAAAAAAGCAAGGATCGCACATAGAGGTCAGATACAATTGTCTACATCCACCCTTTCGTTTTTCCTTCACATAGTCCGCAGTCAATGTGGTTAGCTTGGCACCACCAACGATTCAAGTAAAACTGTATTGTCGATGGCTGTAGCGATCGATGAAGCAAAGAGTTCCTCTACAAGGTGTATTGATACATTTGTTAGTATGCTACGATCGGATGGATACCCAGGCAACAGCACGAAAGGGCGCAAGGAGCAAGGCGAAAATGTCTGCATTTGCGAGAATGGTGTTTACCAAGGGTCCTAGGAGTCTTTGAATTTTAATGAGTAGATGTCAAGAACGAGAAGAACCAAGAGCAACCAAGTCAAGGAGCGAGAAGCAGGGAAAGAGAGGAAGAGATAATGGAGGTGGAGGCGAACGAGATATTAGTTTTGTGTAAGCATAACCAGCGAGCTGTTCCATCCGTGGGCAGAGACGGTAGCAGAAAAGGGTTGTCCAAGAAGCGTAATGGAAAAAGTAGTGAACAAGAGAATAGTTGCAAGCATGACCATTTTCGAACTTGAACATGTACTGTTGGTAAGAACATATATCTGCAGGAGATCAACACGGTTGCTGTTTTGAAGTGCATACCGTGATCAACTACAGAGTAGAAGTTGTTGGTATATGTGGTGGTGGTGTGATGGTGGTGGTGTGGCGAGGTGGCGTCAGAGTCCTATAAAAGAGTTGAAGGAAAGGGAGTGGGGAGAGGAAAGCGAACTGTAATGAATGAGGGGATAAAGTGAATGAATGAAGAAGGAATGAGGATGGAGTGAAATGAAAAGAAGAGAAGGAAATGGCAGATTTGATTAGCTGTGCGTCACGCAGTATCATCACTCCACTCCCACGATCAATGCTGAGAAAAACAGACTCCACTTTGCCTTCACCCTCTCATCTCTTTACTCCTTTACATCCCAGTGGATACCCGCCACAAGAGCCTTATCCTTTCCTGTAGCCATGTTTATGTATGTGTTGAGTCTCTGTTCCAACGATTTCATTGTTTTACTGCTGCCTTGTATGATGGCAAAACAATGATGGAAAAAAGCAAGGTCAGTGAACGCGACAGCGTGGGCTTGAGAATGAAAAAAGAAAATGCCAGGGTCAGGGCCGTTGTCAATGAATTCGGTCAGTATCAATCCAACGTGAATGAGAATGCGACATTAGTATCTCCCTACTTTTTGTCCTTCAAAGTAATTCTGCTACTCGCAAAACTAGCTCAGTCGATCTGGCTATGATCTGTATTACCTCGCTATCACCTTGTACGTTACCTATGGATTCAGAAACAAAGAAATAGAACGCAACGCGACATGTACGTACTCAAAGACTGAATATACTTTTGCACTTCCTGGATCAATAATTCCTTTTCGCGCTTCTCTTTGAATATATGTATTTTATGTTTTATTGGATTATAATTATTGCTGTTGCTATTGGTGCTGATTGCTTGCTTTGACAGTGCCTCCGAGGTTTACGCGCTATTGAGCTCGTGCCTCAGTGTGTTCATAAAGGCGTCTTGAATCGCGTGTGTTTCTTTTCTTCCTTGGCGTTTCGTCTGGCGCCGTTGGTCATCAGTACTCTGATCAGCTTCGCTACCAGTGCGCCTGGGATTCCTACGCATATACAATAAAGACCCGGAGTCGGTTAGCACCACGTCTTGCGATTTTGTTGCCTGACATTTATGTGCGTCCATGTGTTCGAGCGCTAAGTATTCAATCTCTGTTTTTTTTTGGATCAAACTCACCTTCGTCGTATTCGTCTGCTGCTTGGTTGTCTACGCGGTAATCTTCGTAAGGTAGGCGTAGTTTTGCTCCCAAATCCATTGAAAAGAAAGGGTACATCATTATGGGATATTTTGTTGGTATTGGAATGAACAGTCTGAATGTCTTGAGTGGCAGATTTCGTTTACTTAGCGAGCATGATGAAGGACATTCAGGCGATAGGTGGGTGTTCCAAGTCCTTCGGTACTCGAGGTATCCCTCTCGTCCTCCTTGCTCAATGGTGCAGGCACACACGTGCGTTTTTTGACTTTTTTCCGCCATGGGCATCGGATCATGTAGATGCACAATGGGTAGATATTTCTTTTTGTCAGGCAGCGATTTCATCGCGCCTTGCTGGTATTGTGCAAGGGTGTGTGAACTCGTCTGGTTCGTTTATTGGACTAAAAAAATAATAATGAAAAATGGACGATATTCATGGTCCTTAGAGTGCATCATCCGTCATTCTCTTTTGCACCTCCTCAAACATAACTGCAAGAAAAAAAGACATTGAACAACAATGCAGGGGATGTCTTGCCGTTTACTTATTTCCACATGTTCATTTAGGATTTTTTGTTGCATACACTACGTAATGTAATAGACAAGGGGTACTTTGGCTTGAATATATTGATATCATGGGATGTACTGCATCTTCCGGACTGATTTCGTGGCGTTGACACACCGACGCGTTTTCGTTCATTTGCTCTCTCCAAAATGGATATCGATGCCTCTCTTTCATCCACAGGTCATCCTTTTTCACTTCCTTTATATTTATCACCCCTGATTCCATAGCACCGAGGAAGACTTTTTTTTTCCAGGGAAGCGGAGGTGATTACTTCGATTTGCTCAGGAGTTGGATGTGACATATCTCCATCTCATCTCCCACTTTTATTGCGACACGATTCATTTTTTGACGAATGAGAAACAGGACGAGGGGCGGTAGAGTGCGGTGAAGCGGGATTTGGCCTTCTGAGTCTTGACACGCCCTCCTACCAAGCGGGAGCGCCCCCACATTTTCTGTTTTGTGATGTTATGTTACAGTTCTACATCATGAGGGTTGCCTTTTGACTCCAGGTTTACACTCACACATCCCATCGCCTCTTTAGGATGGGTGCGATGGCGGGGTGCGATTTGCTTGCATATTTCAACCGAGGATATAATCTCGACTATTTTCTCCAAGGAATAAGGATACACCGTCAATAGTAGATCGTATAAAAAGCTTTACTCCAATCACACACAAAAGAAAGGACGATACGGTAGCCTCAAGTCAACGCCCATAACCAGGACCTATATAAAGAAAAATCAAGCACCACCCCGAGGGATTGAGCTGTCAAGCTCTCTTTTTTTTTCACTCCTTCACACCTTGGTATGTATATATATCTGAAAATGAGTGCGCTGTATTATTATTTTTTTGCTTTGAGATGAAAGAGATGCACGATGCGTGGTGGAGACTAGCATCTCTCCTTTTGTTTGTATGTTACTTTTATCCACATCGACGGTAGATACATTTCGGGCCTCTTGGGTGTGAGGTGGGGACCTTTTGAGGCGAGGGTTTTGAGGTTATAGGAACGAGCAGAACGATCGAGAAGAAAGGCGAGATACGCAAAGGAGAGAATAATTTTTTCGAAGGAGAGGGAAATAGGTACCTGCGTCAGCAAAAACAATGAGCACGGGTCACAAGGTGCAAAAGCGATAATACAAGATGAAAGTCTATTCGATTGCAAAGACCTCAGCTATCACCACTGCCAGTATAATCGTACTATGGTGAGATGGGAATCATCGTCTGGTCTTCGCCACTATCACAAACGCGCGACGCGACATTATAAGTGTCCAATAAGATTCGTATTCATTTATTTTTTGGGGTGGTGGGTATTTCAGAAGTGAAGTAAGGTATCGTTAAGAAGTGAGAAACGAAAAAAGGAAGTAAAAAGAATCCTAGGGCTCGCATCCACTCGGTTCGTGACAAATCCTAGGGCTTAGTGACCCCAGGAGGCAGCAAAGAGCTCTTCCTCCGAGGGAGAAGGCTCATCCTCATTGAACACAGACTCTCCCTCCTCCTCATCCTCGCCCTCACCTTCTTCATCATACTGTCCATACTCTCCTTCCTCACTTTCCTCCTCCTCAGCCTCTCCAGTAGGGTGACCAGCCAAGTTAAAGTACTCCTCCGACTTCATCTCCTCGATCCAGTCCTGGAGTCCAGCCTCGCTATCCAAACGGGCCTCCTCCTCCTCATCGACCTCCTCAGCTTCCTCGCCTTCCTCGTCATCACCATCCTCCTCCACGGTCAGGTTATCCTCCTCAAACTCGTTGAACGAGAAATCACCTTCCTGGAATCCTTGAAAGTCAAGCTCCGTCTCTTCCTCCTCCTCCTCCTCCTCTTCTTCCTCTTCCTCTTCCTCTTCCTCTTCCTCCTCCTCCTCCTGCTCGTCACCTTCCGCCTCCTCACCATCCTCCTCATCAGCATCATCATCTCCTCTCTTAACCTTCTTATAAACATTAAAGAACGCCCCATCCTCAAGCTCAGACCCAGGCTCAGCCTCAGCCTCAACCTCAGTCTCGACCTGCGCATTCTCGCCATTGTTCAATGAGAAATGCGCATTGTCTTCATAGATGGCCGCACGCTTCTTGTTAAAGCCCCTGTGGATAGTCCCGATAGGGTCACGGTCATGGCCATGACCCCATCCTCCACGAGCGCCGCCGCGACGGAAGTTGATTGGCAGGTCGTCGTCGTTGGGGATCCGGTGGTCGACGCTGCCTGGCCAGGCGTCTATTAGGAAGTACATTGAAAAAAAGTAGAATGGGTGTGAGTATAGAGGTGGCGGTAGGGGTTGAGCAAAGGAGAGATTGTAGTGAGCAGTCAAGAAAAGAGGGGTATGAAAAGTGAGCAAATTGTTGCGAATTGCGGGATAAATTTAGAGGCTTGATTATTGGGTGCAAATTAAAATAAAAAAAAAAAGTCGACAAGCACAGAAACATGAACCGAGCTGTCTGAGCGAGGCCGAATAGGCAAAGGAAGAACGGGTAGTGAGAGGAGGAGGAGGAGGTAGGAAAGGTGCTTACTGTTCCAGATGGGAGGGGATTGGTTAGATTCAAAGATATCTGCCTGTGCGACGGCTTCCTTGTCGGCAGCAGCAGCTCTGGCCACTGCAGGGGCAGCCTGGGCGACTGTCACTGCGGTGGCGGCAGCAGCCATGATTGTCAGAGTGACGGCTAAAGAGACAATCAACTTCATGTGTGAGATTGTGTTGTAGTGAGAGAAGGGGGTAGGTGGTGGTTGAATGTGTGGGGGTGTTGTGTAAAAAGTGAATGAAGGGGATGTGTGAATAAAAGGGAATATAAAGAAGAAAGAGAGGGGAGTGAGCAACCTCCCTGCCTGCCTTTGCAGTTGCAGAAGAAAAAAGAGTCGACCGTTTGGGGTCAGGGGAGCAGTCGAACTGCCCCGTAATAATTTATCACCTGCAAAGCTCACTCGTTCAGGCCAGTCCAGAGTCCAGACTAACAGACGCCCTGCTAGCTCTCATGTACACACACATTCCCAGGACGACTACGTGGCCAAAGGTACGCCCATCGTTTTTACTCCCTCTAGACGATTTGCTCTGCTCTTCTTTTTTATTGTTCACAAAGCTGACAGGGGAATCAAAAAGAAAACGGAGCTAAGTGATAGCCACAAGGAAAACAGTAAACAACAAAACAAAATAATACATGGATGCAAACAAAGAACAAAGGTGAAAAGGGGATCATAGCAGTGGCGTGATTGCGTACTCAGTCCAATGTACATATGTATATATCCAAAGAGGGTACAGCCCTCTAGTCCTCCTTCAAGACATCCTCCTTCTTCAACTTCTTCTCGCTCTCAGCCTCAGCATCCTTGCCATGCGCCTTCTTGCCCTCAACAAGCACTCCCGTACCTTCCTCTTCCTCAACCAAGTCAGCCAAGTCAACAATGTGGCTCAACAGGACAAGACCATCGCCATCCATATCCAGCTTCTTGACAATTTGCTTAATGTTCTCCGCATCGGGGGCGTGCTTAATCACCTTCAATGCCTCCTCGATATCCTTGACTGTCAACTCTCCGCGCTCGTTCGCCTGGAACTTTTGGAGCTTGTTGCCCTCTGCATCGTATGCCTCCAACTCCTTGTCCAGCTTGGCAATCATCTTTTCAAGACGGCTGCCCAACCTCCTCGACACGTTGTGTTCCTTGCGCTGCACCTGAGCCAACTCCTCAATGTCCTAATTCATCAAATTAATTATGCAAGGGTCAGTTGGTTGCTTCGTTGGGGGCGCTCTCGTCCCACCATAAACATTGGAATTGCCAGCAAAGGAAGATAAGTGAAGGGAAAAGGAGGGTATACACAATAACAACACAGGCGACATGTAGTTACCTCCTTGTACTCCATACGGTCTTCCTTCAAATCCTCAAGCTCCTCACGCTCCTCAAGAACAGCAGAACGCGAAGACATAATACAGAGAGCCTCACGCAACTCAAGCAACTGCTCCTCAGTCATACGGGCCTTGTCCTCCTCCTCCTCAGTAGGCTTGAGGACAGTGGTACCAGCAGCCTCAACAGAGGCAGCAGCATCGGCCGACTCCTTGGTGGCGCCAGTAGCGGCGGCATCCTTGGCAACCTGAGCGGCAACCTGAGCATCCGTCAACAGCTCAGAGGCACCAGTCAAAGTAGCAGGAGCACCAGCAGTAGCAGCAGTAGGAGTCGACTTGTCGAACAATGGCACCTCGGCAGCCGTAGTAACGGCGGGTGCTGCTGTTGCAGCGGTGGCGGCCTCCTGTTCCTGAGCCTTCAACTTCTTCTCTCTCTCCTCGGTCTCCTTCTTGAGTCTGACCTCCTCCTTGCGCTCCTTGCGGGCCTTTTCTTCCTTCTCTTCCTGAGCCTTCTCGTCGGCGATCAGCTCTTCCTGTTGTTCCAGAACCTCCAACTTTTGCTGGGCCGTGGCGGCACCCTCGAGCTCAGAGACGTGCAACTCGGTCTCGGTCAAGAGACTGTCGGGCAAGGACGAGAGGGTGGCCTGAAGGGCTTCGACGGGGGTGGCGAGATCCTTAGAGTCGGAGAAGGAAAAGGCACGGGAAAGGATCAAGAGGGACGAAGGGATGGCGTAGGTCAAGTTGAGGTCGAGCCACTGAGACAGCTCACTGCGAAGACGAGAGGGGGAGACACCTCCAGTGCGGATACCACGAGACTGGCAGGCAGCCTGCAACTCGCGTGTCGTCAACGAGTCGACACCCTCTGCCATGATCAGCTATTGTTGTCAATGAAGAAGATAGGACGTTAGTCACGTTACCTATGGAGAAGAGACGGAGATAATTTTTGTTCCATTCCGGACGCTGATCGGACCCAAGGGAGGGGGGACCAGGGGTGCGGGACAACGCGGGGCAAGGGTCGGGGTACATATATTCGTTCATATATCTTCCTTTGCGTCATTCATATGTTACCCAGGTGGGACAAAGGATAAAAAATAACGCGCACAAAATATCATTGTTTGTTTTTACCTTGTCATCCTGCTTGATAGAGTTCATCTTGTTACGGATCTGGTACCTCAAAAAGTTGTCCGTTCCAAAGGCATTCAAATTCATGTACCGGCACATCGACACAAGCTGAGGGCGAGACAAGTTGTCAAGCGTCAATTCGTCGTGAAACAGTTTGGCGACACGGATCAGCTCATCGGTCGAAGCCTGCTCGCCAGTGGTGCGGACCTTGCGGAAGAAATCGCCAAACTCTTTGACAGCTTCAGCGCGCTGCGACCCAGGGATACCGGACTCCTCGATGGTCTCCTGCAAGAATTTTGCCATCTCCAAACGCATCTTGAGCAGCTTGCGCTTCTTTTCCTCCTCTGCAAACTTGTCTTCAAAGGTTGAGGGCAACATGTTGGGGAAGAGCTTCAACGCGACAGGCAACAACAATTCCATGAATGGCACAATCAGGAACACCGAGAATGGGACCAGTCGCAGCAAATCTCCTGTCGTACGTCTCAACTATGTTGTATGATGGATCATAAATTGTTGTTAGGATTAGTCTCAATTGAACGTGTAGCAGAGGGTTCTAGGGCTTGTTTTTTGAGAGTCGATTTGTGTCAACATGATTCCATCCACATGATGTAAGAGACAAAGCTTCTTCTTTCATGCCTGCTCCGGTTATTGAATGCTGAGATGGTTGACGTATATCCGTGTAAAGCGAACTAAAAATTGCGGTCCAAGATAACTTGCCTGTCTCTGCTCGCGCCGGGTCAACTTGTTGCCGTTCAATAACCGTCCAGCCAACTTTGTCGAAATCTTGATCTCCTTTCCAAGGAGCTTCGTACCATGCCAATAATGAACCATCTCGTTCTTGAATCTAACCCACAACGACTTCTTGGGCTCAAGCACTACCCCCTCACCAGCAATGCCACTAGCAGCCTCTGAAGCTTCCTTGGCCGCCTTGGCCTTGGCCATCTCTGCAGAACGCGAGGCCAGAGTCTCCTTTTCGATGGTCGATTTCAAGAGGGGTGCGGCGGGTTGTTCGGTAGCCTTGAGGAGGCGGAGGGTTGAGGGGATTCTGGGGAAAGGCGAGGAGTGGAAGCCATTGATGCTAGTGTATCCTGTTGCTGGTCCTGACCGGGTGCCAGCTGTGTAACGCGTGTTGACTAACTGGACCTTGACTGATCTGTAGTATGGGGTCGAGACATTCATGCGCAATGCCGAAGTGTACGATCCAGCTGTTGTTCATGATCCGCGTCGGAAGGTAGGCAGGAAGGAACAAGACAATGAGTTAGTGCGGAAGTAATGAGTGTGTCATTTGTTAGGCTGATCAGTTTTATGAATGCAGTATGCATACGAAAGTGAGAGCTATGTTTGCGTCTTACCGGAAAGCATAGAGGCGGAGGTGGTTGTACCGACCCGGAGCGTGGGCCTGAGGGTATGATACATTTTTGGCGGGAGAGAGAGAGAGAGTGGTTAGGGGTACAGAGGAGAGAAGAGGAAGGAGGGAGGTAAGGAAGGGACGAAGAGGACGATGAACAACGACTGTTCCGACGGCAGAGAGTAAGAAGGGGAAGGGTGTAGGGTGAGTGGGAAGAGTGATAAAGAGAAAGAAACGATATCACAGAAAGCGGATCGTGAAGTCGTTCCTCTGGAAAAGGCAATAATAAAAAGAATTGCCCACCAACCTTTCTACAATACCAGGACCCTCACCCTAGGAAAGGAACCAGTCGCACTGAAACAGTCACCCTTAAAGTCACATGACTTCGGCATGTTCTCCTACTCACACCTCCCTCAAAGAAAACAAAACTTTTCTTGCGTGATCATTTTTTTTCCTTCTTTCCATCAACCCATCCACCACCACCACCAACACACCAACAAACAACCATGTCTGGACGCGCCGGAGGAAAAGCCAAGCCCCTGAAGGCCAAGAAGAAGGTCGCCAACGAGCTCGACGAAGTAAGTCTCTCCGCCCATTCTCTTTTGCTCATCGAACCGAGCAGATGAGCTATTGAAGGAAGAAAGGCAAACGGCCACACACCAGCCAAGAGCACGATATTATTTCGCTGGGCTTGGAGCACTTAGCTGGACCATCCGTTGGAATCATGAGATACACATATTGCATTGGAGGCGCAGCTACGGATACATACTTTCATACACGCACGCACACCTACTAGCCGTTGCGACACATACTACGGACAATGGCAGACATACCTTGCTTGTCAAAACAACACATATTAACAAATGTTCGCATCATCATTTCATATCTTTATAGGAGGATCTCGCTTTCCAGGCCAAGCAGAAGGAGGAGAAGGCCGCATTAAAGACGTTGCAGCAGAAGGCTGCCAACAAGGGACCCCTCGGTATGTGTCTCTCTTATTGCGTCTGCGCTGTCGATTGACTTTGTGGACTTTGCTACTCTTTTACCGGGTTGACGTGGAATCATCATGCGCATTATTATCACTTTTACTAACCCTTTCGTCCTCTCTTCTTTTTCACCTACTGTCCTGTCGATACAACAATAACATGATGAACAACAATATAGTCGGTGGTGGCATCAAGAAGTCTGGCAAGAAGTAAATACGCCTCTTCACAGGACATCTCAACAAATCGCCAAACAAACAAACAAACGCACACACACACAGAGCATTGTCGATGAAGGACCGGTCTACACCGTAGGCTAGTCTCACCAGGATCGATTGGTTTTTATTTATTCTCTTTTTTTCCTTCAATAAATGCATTTCGCCCAAACAGTACTTTGCTCGACTCAGTTGCCAAATGCTCACTCATTCTTATTTTTGTGGCCCTGAAACTACCTATTACTTTATCGACTGTCCACTGCCTGACTACCGCCTTGTATCGTCAAACGTGCAGTGCTAAACTCGCGCTCGCACGTTGGGGTTCGGCACGTTTGTACAACTTCATTTGTAATATTTTCGTGGACTTTTAGGAAGAACAATAATGTCGTTGCGCTAGTTTGTAAATTACCTCTCCTGCAAAGTGTATCAAGGTGCTACGAATCCTTTTTTCCATTTCCATTATCATTGAATACCCTAGCCCGCAGCAGCAGGAAAAGGAACAGTAGCCCCATCACCAACTACTACAAGAAATTGAGCAGGTTCGCGAAAGAAAGAAACAGAGGGAGAGAGAGGTCCAAGTAGAAGGGTCAATTGGGGATATCGATCCATCCAGTGCAAAAGTGCTCACATACATACATGACCATATTTTTTGCGATTTGCAAGGCTAGGCAACCCTCACCCATCGAAGAGAGAGCTATTTTGTTTTGTTTGTTTGTTTTTGTTGAAAGGGTTTGGGCGTTCATTTTCTCTTTTCCATCCCCAACACCACACTCCACCGACACCCAACAAGCCCTTGCTCTTTTGTTTGTTTGTTGTTTGATTGTTTGTTGCTACCGTGCATGAAAAACATACCCCTCTTCGTTGGAGTTGTTGCAATCCAGTCGCAACATCTATCGCCATCGGCATCTGCATCGGTGACAAGGAAGGGGATGAGGAGTCTAGTACCCTATCGCCTGTTGCCGCATCTGAAGGGCAATTTCGAAGCTAAAATAGAAGGTGTCAGGGGAGTGAGGACGTGCAAGACATTGTAAAGAGAACGACGAGAAGGAGTAAAAACAAGGATAGGGTACAATGCAGGTTGGTTTGTGATGGTAGACATTGCCCAATGTTGACGATGTATTACTGACGGTTGCTAATGCAGTATAGTGAGCCCTTTCTTTGCTTTCTTTCAGTTGAGGCCATGGGAAGGGACGAGTGTGGATTCGATATCCGTTAGAGTGAATGCGACGTTTCTTCATCCAATCCATGGTAGATAGTCCACGCCACTATTTCACTTCCTACTTGCAAAATGAACGCTCTCGGTCCAAAATTGACCTTGCAATTGCATTTGCTCGTCCTCTGCCACCCACTCGCATTTAATTCTTTAGAACTTGTTTGCTCTTTCCTTCCTTTCTTTCCCTTCCTTCTCCCTTCGTCCCATTTCGTCGTCTTTCACTCATCCTCCCTTCCCATCCTTTCTCACCCTCACCCCTACTCCCTTCTCTTCCGCAGCCAGCCCAACCCTTCTCTCGCCCACCCTTTCTCCTCCTTGTACGCTCATCGTCAATCTCGAGCATCGTTTTGCTGATTCGTCTTTTGTTGTTGTTATTTTATTTGGCTCCATTCGTTTAACCAGTCCCCTTTCTTACTCACGTCCTCGATCCGATCCATCCATCCCTCTCATCCTCCTTGTTCATTCACAACAGCAAACAGACAAGAACCTACTACACACAAGCACAAGTATCAAGGAAGACAAAGCGAACACCCAGAGACCTATCCCCTAGAACCTGGACTTACCCTGTCGAGATACCCCACACCTCTCCTCCTTTGCTGTTTCGTTTTCTTCCTTCTTTTCCTTCGCAGGACCAAACGGCAAGAGAATAAGTCTCCGAGTATCCTTTCTCCCCGAAAAGGTCGTCCTTGTTTTTTTCTCGTTCCTTTGTCTGCGTTGTGGACACTTCCACTCCTTCCTCTCCTTTTTTTCACACGTTCATTGCCGCATTGGCGCATATCTGCATACCACATACACATATCCTGTTTACAAACAGCCTTGCAGCAAAGTAATTCTCATTCTCGACAAGCACAAACAAACAAGCAAACAAACAAACAAGCAACCAAAGCCAAAGCTAACGGAAGAGACAAACCACAGTACTCGATATGCTGCCTCTGTCCAGCCAGTCGTCCCACGAGCTCACTGTCGTCGACGGCTTCTTTATCAACCAAGAGCAAGACCCAGATCATCAGCCCATCAACATCAAATCATCCCCGACAGACGCCCTCCTCTCTTGCCACGGTCGCCTCCTTCATTCAAACAATAACCACCTCCACCTCCACGGACAACAAGGCCAGACCCTCGCCCATCCCTCCGTCACTCTACACAGCCATCCTCTAAACCAACAACAACATCAATCCCATCAATCTCCGCATCAAATGCATCATCAAGAACACCTCGAGCAAATCCGTCCAGACTCACCCACCTCCCTCGAGGACTCGCTCTCTGAAGGAAGCGTCGACTCCCTTTCTGTCGGCTCGACAGATTCTGCAGACATCCCTGATCCCCTCTTCCACCACGGCTTGAACAACAATAATAATAACAACAACGCACGCCCACCTAGTTCCGACCGGAATCAATCCTCCTCTATCCTCACCCATCCCACCAGTCCATCCTCCAATGGCCTCAGGAGCAGGAACGAACAACAACACCTCATAACAAAACCAAAGGCACTCACGCCACGTCTCTTGAACACCTTCGACAGTCCTATGATGGCCACCCCTCCTCTTTCCCCCACACGACAACCTGCTCCTTGCGATTTCACTCAGGAGTCATCTGTTCAAGTGTCCTCTCAAGAATCTCATCCTGCCGTCTCTGTCGCCACCACCCCTACTGCGGCTACAGCCGCAACTGCAGCTCCTGAAAGATCGTCACCCACCAAGGCTCACAAGTCTGGATCAAGTAGCAACGGAAGTGGAAACCATGGTAACGGAGGAGGAGGACAAGGCGACCGGAGAAGAAACCAGGCAGCAGCCCGCTCAAGAGCAGAGTCTGCACCTCCTACTGCAAGGACAGCTTGGCCTGATCGACCTCCCGTTGATCCCACAGGACCTGTTGTTTCTGTTGAGCCTCCCCGGATACCAAACCAGCACCCATCGGCCCAGCCCGTGTCGGCCTGGAACTCGCTTCTCACTGGTGTGTCGCCAGTTCGTGTCAACCCTCGACCCGTCGTCAGACCCCCAACACGGTCCAATGTTTCACCCTCTTCTAACGAACAACGGCGTCTTCAAGATGTGCCTATCATGCTGTCGCCTGAGCGGGAAGGGAGGTTGACGATGGAGATGTACAGTCTCTTTGAGGTATGTTTCAATGCATCTATCAGATGGATGATATTTTTCATTGGACCCCATGTATTTTTTGAGACGAGGGTGTGCTATTCCTGCGGGTGTGTGTGGACCGTACGATGTGAGCTTCCGTCTCCACGTGTGGCAACGCACTTTTGTTTTTGTTGTTTTCTTTGCGCCAAAGCGCCTGTCTTCATGTGGAGAGAGGAAAGAGGGGGGAAGAAGCACTGTATTCTTGTCTCCTAGTCTCCCCTTTCCTCGGCAAGAGTGCGCAGGGAGCGCGTATCTTGCCATGACACTCGCTAATCCAATGGACGCCTTTTTCTTTGGATTCATTAGACCATCTTACCCACCGAGGAGAGCCATCAGCGTAGGACGCGGCTCATCGGCAAGATTGAGGAGATTGTGGAGACAGAGTGGCCAGGACAGGATATCAGAGTGCTGCCATTTGGGTACGAGGACCATTTCATTTCGTCAGCTTTCCTCAGGATGGCCATGCCATAATACGAAAACGCTGCTGCATTTCCCGACCATGAACTGACTGATTGACTCGTTTTGTCTCTGTGTCCTCTCTCCCCCTCCGCCTCGTTTTATCGTTCATTACCGCTGCCACCTCCATACACAGGTCGACCATCAATGACTTGGGTACCAACACAAGCGACGTTGATATCTGCATCTTGACTTCGTGGCTCGGATTGCAGGGTGTAGAGATGTTGGCTGAGGTGTTCCGCAAGCACGGCATGGAGAATGTTTTCTGCGTCCCTGGCGCACGAGTCCCCATTGTCAAGCTATGGGATCCTGAACTGTAAGCGTCTTATACCTATTCCATTGTCTGTTTGTTATGGATGAAATTTTTTCTAACAATTGCCCCGCTCCTGTATTTCCTCATAGGCAATTGTCGTGCGATATGAACATCAATACTCAGTTGGGCATCATGAATTCCAGGATGGTGAAGACCTATGTGGCGATCGACCACCGTGTGCGCCCCTTTGCTATGATTATCAAACACTGGGCTCGCAAAAGAGTCCTCAACGATGCAGGTACGCTGTCTGACTTGACCTTTTCGTGCGTGTACCATTTAAGCCCTCAATCTACTAACGAATCTTTATCTTTTGCGTTTGTCAATGCTTAGCTAATGGAGGTACCATTTCGACATACACCTGGATCTGCATGGTGATCAACTTTTTGCAAATGCGGTCGCCGCCCATTTTGCCGTCCTTGCACGACATGCCGCACGAGCTCTCTCCAGACAACCAGGTCATCAATGGAAACAACACGTCATTCTTCAGCGACTTGGCCAAGTTGGAGGGCTTTGGCAGCGCCAACAAAGAGTCACTAGGAGGACTTCTTTACGCCTTCTTCAGAAAGTAAGGGCTTGGGGTCAATTTCGAATGCACATGGCAGAGTAATTAGGAGTATCCGAATTCACTTGGACCGAAAGCAGCGATATTCACATCTACCTTTCTTTTTCTGTACATTACTTGCAGGTTCGCCATTGAGTTTGACTATGACCACCATGTGGTCTCGGTTCGTCATGGCTGCTATCTGACCAAGGAGTCCAAGGGTTGGCACTTGCCCGGAAAGCACTACAGGCTGCTCTGTGTGGAGGAGCCGTTCGACACCAGCCGAAACCTGGGAAACTCTTGTGACATGGCCAGTAGCAAGGGATTGAAGCATGAGTTCAAGAGGGCGCTGGATATCCTGAACCACAATGGTAGTCTGGATCAGGTATGCGAGCAGTGGATCTTCCCCTCGAGCTATTACCACAACACCAACAATGGATACAGGAACTCGAACGGCAACGGACAGTTTTCGGGCAACAATACGGCGTCGCTTGGAAGGCGCTATGCTGCCGGATATCGGTCTCGCCCGCACACTCGGGATACTTTTGATCGCAACGGGAGTCACAACAACGGCAACAACAATGGAGGAGGAGGTGGATCTGATGGATCAAGCGGGTCTTCTGAAAATTATAAGTCCAATCGCTCGTACAACTCGTCTTCTTCCAACGCCAGCAACAGCAGCAACGGTAACGCGGAGGGCCGACAAGACAGGAACTACTATGAAAGGCGACCTCGATCCAGCTCTGCCTCGGTTGCGACCTCGTCGTCTCTTCCTACGCCTCGACTCGTTGAAACTTTATTGGAAGATGTCAAGGAACACGGTGCGCAAGCAGAGAAGTCTTTGGAGGGGGAGCCAGTGTTAGAGTTGGCAAAGAGTGAGTCGGCCGGGAAGAACGACACCACGGGCCCCCATCATACTGGATCCAATCGACTTCGTCGCGCCAGCGTACACTCGTCGGACAGTACTTCCGGATCCGGATCGCATTCATCGTCCACGAAACAAGGCGACAAGCCCAAGGCCCAAGGATCTCCAACGTCAGTGAACAACTCTCAACGTCGGGGCAAGCCATCAGCAACCAAAGGAAACAGCAGTGAGGGACCCAAGAGCAACAACACCAATGGTAGCAGCAACCATGGCGGCAGTGGTAGCAGTCACGGTCGACAGAAGAATGGTCGATCTGGCAATGGAAGCCATCGCGAGAGTGGTGGGCATGGGAGCAAGGCACCTCGCGCGACTGTAGAGCTTTGTTTGGCTGATATTGCAAAGACGACACCTCATTTGTTTGCTGGCAGCAAGTCTGAGACGTCACTGCCCGAGTCTTCGGATGCCCCTTCTTCAGTTTTTGTTGGTGCTGGAAGTGATGTGTTGGAAGTTGCTGCAGACGCTGCGAAGAAGAAGAAGACGGGCAAGAAGAGTTTGCTTTGGTCGACTAACTCGAACCGAGGAGAGTCTGGCCCCAACCAGCATCATCATCATCACCAACAGCACCATGGCCATCGTGCATCGAAGCTTCAGGAACACCACAATCATAACCACAGCCACAGCCAAAAGACGACAAGCCATTCGACCAAGACCAAGACGACACGGGTCGATGAGGCTGGCCCTCTAGGTGACTCTACCGGCGACACCCTTCCTCGATCCTCATGATCCCCTTCCTTCCTTCTTTCTTTCTTTCTTTCTTTCTTTTTGTTTTTCAACTATATCCATATTTTTTTTTTTTGGGTATTTGGCACCTTTTTTTTGGCTTTCTACTCTGTACATCTTTCTCTTCTCTCCACTCTACTCTTTTTGCATCAATCCCCGTACACAGTTACACTACTCCTTTTAATCCCTGCAGCTTCCTTACACCTTTTCAGCACATAGCACATACAAAACCCAAAAAAAAAATAGAAAAAAAATATTATGTAAAGCACAGTTCTTTATGGGATTAACGAGAAATGAATATGTGATCGGGAGCAAAGTAGACCTTGTACAAAGCTTAGTTGATAGAAGCAATCTTCCATCCAAGGGGCTTGCCAGCCATAAAAGGCACAACATCACCCTTCTCTCCCACAATGCCCTCGCCTCCGAAACTGTACTTCTGGGGCGCGTTCCATTCCTCACGGACAAGCTTAACCTCTCCAACCCACTTTTCGTTCTTGACCTCATAGAATGCTCGTCCGAAATCGCAGGCGAATCCACGGAGACGGTCGAGGGCACCGAAGGATTCGAGGATTGTTGCGAGGTAGGGGAGGACGAGGGGGGTTGTGAAGACTCCTGCGCAGGAGTCGGGGCCTTCCTTTCTGTGAGAGGGGTGGGGTGCTGAGTCTGTTCCGAGGAAGAATCTTGGGTGTCCTGTTTTTTTTTTTTGTTGGTTTCGTTGGTTTGTTGTTTGGTTGGGTTGGATCGATCATACAAGTGTAAAAGAAAAAGAAAAAGAAAAAGAAAGAAAAAAAACACAACAAGGTTAGTTTCGTTGATAGGCAACATACCACAAAACATAACACGAACCACCAATGATCGCCTCCAGTAAAGCCATTCAAACAAGAATAAAAGAACTTGCCTTCCTTGATAACGTTACGAAGCGCCGCGCGATCGCTGGGATACTTGGCCACAGGCTTACAGAAGTTATGGCACTTGCCTGCCCAATCATCCACAATCAACTGCAAATGGTGGACGGTGATCGTGCATCCGACAGTGTCACCGAGGGACTTGACCATTTTGACGGCAGCCTCGGTGGTGGCGTGTTCGAGGATGATCTTGAGTTTGGGGAAGGCCAGGTGGATGTCCTTCAAGTGGCTCAAGAACTTTTCTTCGGCGTTCATCACACACACGTTCTGTTCGTTGTTGTTTTTTTGGTTTTGGGAGAAGAGTGAGAGAGTTGAGGTGAGTTGAGCGTTTTGATGAGGTTGTTTTGAGGACAGATGGTGGGTGAGAACAAGAAGTGGGAGGAAAACGTACCTTGTCGGGGTCGCTGGGGATCTCGCCGTGGAGGTTGAGGACCATACCCTCCTCTTCCATGGCCTGGAAGACGGGGTAGTAGATGTCGTAACTCTCAATGCCCGACTCGCTATTAGTCGTCACACCGCGGGGGTACGACTTCACACCTATCATGCACCATAAACCATAGTAGCGATAAGTTCCCACGATCTATTTGAAAAAAGATGATCCCGCTAAGTGGAAAGAAAGGGGAGCATAGTAACAAGAAGGAGAGAAAACGTACCGCGAACACCAGCCTTGGCGGCCTTACGGATCTCGTCGGGGGTGAGGGCGGGGTTGAGGTAGAGCGACATGAGGAAGGTGACCTTGGGCGACAGGGCCTCCAACTCAGCCTTGTAGGCGACAGCCATCTCCGTGTTCGAGATCGTAGGCTGCAAGTTGGGCTATTTGTCATTACATATGCACATATACCAAGCAGAGGTTAGGCGACGGGTTGGGATATTCGTCAATTGACATCATCCCGAGCAAGTGCGCTATCGAAAGGCTAGAAGGCAACACGCCAGAAAAAAAAAGCAAGGCAAGGAAAAAAAGAAGAAAGAAGGTTACCATGACGTAACAGATCGAGACACCACCCTCGGCGACGGCGGGGGTGACCATGGTCATGAGCGAGCCCTGACGGAGGTGAATGTGCATGTCTGCCGCAGTGGGGAGAGTGATGGTGTCCATGGTTGTCGTTTTTGCTTGATCTGTCGTGAAGGAGTGAAGAAGAAAGCGGGGTAATCGGATCTCCTTTACTTTAAAAAAGTGGTTCGGTCACTTTTTTGTGATCGTGACTGCTGATGGACAACAGCTCCTCTAACAGTTGTGCTTTGTGTTTATGTTTATTCAAGCTTGCTCCCTCCTATACCTCAGCTCCATCAAAAGCCCTAACCCTCAACGAACCATTGCCTCCATCTTAAACAATGAAGCCACGGTTCTCGTCAGTGACAATCTTTGCACTACGCTTCGAGTCCAAGAACAAATCGGTAGCCTCCTCAACATCGCCCTTAACGATATCATCACGTCCGTTGATCCTGGACATGATGTTGGCAGGTGCCAACAACTGGATAGAGTACCGGAGACTGGTCTTCAAACCCACATCTGCAAGGTAGTCCAATGCCTCATCCTGAATAGTCAATCCCTCAGTCTTGGCACGGATCGTAATGATCACACGGATCTCTTCCAATGTGTAAGGGAGTGTACGGATGATCAACAGACGGTCCAGGAGATCGACGGGGATACCGTGGGGCGACATGATGTCCTCTGTTCCGCGGATTGCGCACATGCCGCGGTTGGTCGCAAACACAACAATTGGCGAAAGTGTCGACTCCAATGCGCGGTTCAAGTACGTAAAGCACTCAATATCCAACATATGCACCTACAATGTCACAAGTATAATATTAGTTAGCTACAGTTCCATACTGGAAACACAGAGCGCGAACAAGGCTTGAACTCAAACAAAAGCGAAAGGTACCTCGTCGATGAATAATACTCCGGGGACGAGCTCGGCGATGCCCTGGTCGATATACTTGTTGACGACCTTGTTGATCTCCTTACGCAACTTGTCGGTAATTTCGGTCTTTTTGGGCTTCATGAACTGGCCCATCATCGACATGACATCCTGACCTCCTTGGGGGCGAGCGTTGGCGACATCGAGATCGTGAAGGGTCACATCCTGAATTAACTCCTTCTTCTTATGAACTTCACCCTTGGGCAAGGGCACATACTCCTCGGCCTCCAAATCAAACTCGGTGGCATAGGCATCCGAGCGACCGACTCTCTTGACTGCGCCAGTGTTGGCCTCGATATAGACGACATCTCCAACAGTAACCTTTTCCTTCTGGATGCTCTCGTAGATCGAGGGGTCCAGCTTGAGTTGTTTTGTTCCCTTGACAGTCTTCAATCCAATCAAGACGTGCGAAATGGTCTTGCCGTATCCTCCCAATGGGTTCTCTGTCTCCTCTGGCGTCAGCTCTGTGATCTCTCCCTCATACACCTCCTTTGTCTCCTTGATCCTCAATCCTATTGTTCATTAGGTATGAAGTAGAAAAGAAATGAGTACTCTCAACCTCCACACCGTTTGGAATAGTAAACTTGTTAATTATCCAGCATCTATCACGCTCGTCAATGAAAGCGTACCGATGGCGCGACGGAAGTTCTCCATGAGGACCTCGGTTTTTTTGATCTCGCTGGAAAAGACTTCACTTCCGACCATGGGGCAGAAGGGAACCTTGGGGCCGAGCTCCTGTGCAATAGCCAATGCGATCGCCGTCTTTCCTGTTCCTGGTGCTCCAGCGAAAAGCAATGCACGTCCCGACATCTTTTTTGACTTGATCAGATCCACAACCACACCGCAAGCCTATTTTATGAAAGTTGAGGAAAAATTAGTTGAGTATTGCAATGCTCTTGTGGTTCTCACACGTTTCCAGGTAGAAGATGTGTCACGATAGCAGGATAGAGTGTCTTTATCCATGCATGCTGGTTGTGGTTCGTACCTCGCGGGCCTGCTCCTGTCCAACGAATCCAGAGGCAATAGGCTCAGCATATCCGTCCTCTCTCAAACCAAGACCCTATTCACAAAGACATACAGGTAGTGGTTAGTGGCTAAGAAGATACTATTGCTATTTACGCGCTTTTAGTCTGTGTAAACTCGAGGTGAGATCTTGATTGTTTGCATTGTTGGGGCTGTTACCTTGATGTGTGAGTGAGCGGCGATGCGCTGTTCCCTTGAGTTCTTGACTTCTGCAATGCGCATGGTGGGTTTAGTATATGTTGTTGTTGTAAAGTAAGAAAGCGGAGAAGAGTGTCAAGGACAGAGAGTGTGAGTTGGTTGGTGGCGATGGAATGAAGTAAAGAAGTAAAGAAGTAAAGAAGAAAAAAAAAAGAAAAGAGCAATCAAAAAGTGCGTGGGTTTGTTGTTCACCTTTTTTTAAGCCCGCCATTGACGGTGGTCACGTGTGAGACTGCTTTTTCACTTCATTCCTCAAGTGTGAACTAAGACAATTTTTTTTCTCTGAAGGTGGAACAAGAAGGAAAGATCATCCTCCCCTTCTCTTCCATTGCTCCTTTCAGGCACCATTCCTCTACATCAGATCACCTCCCCTACTACCCTTCACCTAATCCATTTACTTGCACTTTACATGGCTCTACCTGTCTACTGCATTCACCAGCCCGCCTTGCCCAGTTGCGATCTGCCATCACTGCATCCCCATGTGTCGCCCTCTTTCTATACTAATATGCGCCACCGCATATCACCACATACCATGACGAATGATAATAAAGGAACCCCTTCCCACTCTAACCCGGACCCAGTCCCTTCAACCAGCACTTCAGCTCACACCTTTGCTTCCTTTCTATGACCCTCGGAAGACTACTTAAAGAAAAAAATTCTTTCTTCCTCTCTTTTCTTTCTTCTCTTTCTTCATCCCTCCTCTTCTCCCCTCAATAACACCTTGCGTCCTTCCTGCTTGCTCCCTTCTCTCGGCCCGCCATTGCACTCTCTTGTAACCCACGTTACCATCTACTACTACGCCCACCAACAGCCACAACCTGATCAGCATCCATACCCCCACATTCTCACTTCTCATCCCCACTCCGCCGCTCTCTCTCACACTGCACCTGCATCTCTTGGCACCTGGCTACCCTACACTTTTTTTATTTTACTTTTCTACAACACCGGCTCATCGCTTTGCCTCTTGGTGCTCCGCCCAAACCCTCATTCACATTCCCACTTCCAACTGAAAAAAAAGGAAACCACAAATGACCGTGCATCAGTCCTCTCCTGTTCTCCTTGCCAACAGCAACAACAACGAGGTCAACCACATGCTTGCCCTTACTACTCCCACCTGCAGGGACCCCATGACTTTACCTCCTGGTAAGTTTTTTTTGTTCTTTTTTTTCTTCTTTCGTTCCTTTTGTTTTGAACAGTGGAGGGTGATCACTCGGAGCACTTGAACAAGGCCGGAGGCGGAGACGTTAAGCCTTGTAGCTGAAGTACCTGCTTTAAGAACAACTAGCTACCCCCTCCCTTCGTTCTTTGTTGTTTGGAGTGTGTTACGGGGTGGTCATTGTTTCTCCACTTGCTTACATACCTGTGTGTGTGCGTGTGTTCAGGGTACCACCGAGTGGCACTGCTATTGACTGGCATGGTGGTGGCAATGGACATCCATCTCTCAACTGTCAGTCAGCATACCAGTCAGGCAGCGCCATCTACCTTTTGTTTGCTCTCTCTTTTATATTAGCGTGTGTGTCCAAAATAGTTGCTAGTGGTCCATGGTGGCCATGATTCAAATCGTTATGCTCTCCCTCTCCTTCCTATATTCTCCTTGTGCGACCTGGTCTAAATTGCCCTTTCCCCTCAGACGTCATGGATGACTACCACCCACAGCACTTTGACCAAAGGACCACAACAAAAAATCATTTTTATTCTGTCCTTCCTCCTGAACACACAGGGAACACACATGGAACACACAGACATACTTCGCCCCTTCGGATATTAATTGCATTCATCGCCGTTCAGCCAACTAGCCCTCCCGATCCCATTCCACTTTTTTTTTTTTTTTGTTCAGCTCAGCTCACACCCTCATTCATTTTGCAACAAACGGACCAACGGACCCTTGTTTCGCTTTGACCATCATTACTCGCAACTCACTCTATTGTATTACGTTTTTCCTCTTCGTCTGCGTCACACTTTAAATAGAGATCCTTAGGTGGATTGCTTCTCATCTCCAGAGCAACCGTCATGCCCTGCACGCTTGTCTCCTGGTCTCCCGCGCTTGGTCCCAGGCCGCAGTCGAGTACCTCTACAAGGCCGAGCACATGATGGGCGACTATGACTTTCGATCATTCTCCTCCATCTCAGTCCCCACCTTCGCCTTTGAGAGTCTCACCCTGGAGGACGATCCTGTTACTCTGGTCTCATTGGGCATTCCCCGGATCCCCATCGGATCAGCAGCCGTATTCTCGAGCAAGGAATCCTCCGATCTGTCCCCAGCCATGGTCCCCCTCCAGCAGTCCTCAATCCAGACACACAACAAAACAAGAAACGATCTCGAGGGTTTCCGCTCTGAAGCCCGCTCGCGCCTTTTGCTGAAGAGAACCCTCGACGCCTCCCTCCTCCATGATGCACAATGCTCCTACGATTACATCTCCTACCTCAACAAGGTCTCATGTCCCGTAAGTCTTCTTTTCTTTTACTTGTCCCATATTGTATGTGTGCATTGTTTCCTACAACGTAACTAATCGTCTCTTTCTTCCTACCGAATTGGTATATATGTAGTGGTTCGTTGATTTGATCCAAGATTGGAATCCGTTTTGCTCAAACTGGCGCGGAACGAGCTCGAGGGGACAGATGACGGATCACTCTGCAGACCTCCTTCTCGACTCAGAGCCATCCATTGCTCGACAGGAACACTGCTTCAACCGTTTGGTGCGCAAGGTCTCAAAGCGCTGTCGATTCGTTGACGAATTCAGGTCCAGCAGCATGGTTCACCCCAACACACTTATCTATGCCGTCCAACACTTTCAGAAACTCACCTGGGTCGATCTCAAGGATTGCCAGGAACTGAACGATGATGTCTTCAAGGCCCTTGCACGCACAGTCCGTGCTCTCTCCTATCTCCGACTGCCTGGTAGCAAACTTAAGAATGTGTCTGCTCAAGCCATTTCCGATGTGATCTTGGCTCAGAAGAAGAACACGCTCTGCCAGTTCAAGGTCATTCACGGAACCAACATCTTTGAGGACGACTCAATCCTCAAGGCCATTGGCGAACAACACGGCGGATCCATGAAACGACTGACGTTGGCCATCAGTGAGCTTGAACATTCGGGACTTCAGGAGTATGGCCCTCTCTGCACTGGTTTGGTGTCGCTCAATCTCGAGTACACCTCGGGAGTTACGGATGATGTCTTACTCCCCATCCTCGATACTTGTCGCCAGCTGGTCAAGCTTGACCTCACGGAGACCGATTGCACTCAGGCGACTATCCAGGGACTTTCGACTGCCTCGGATGCAACTATCCCTCAGGCCGGTCGCTTTGCCACCATGAAGCGCCTAATTCTCAACAACATGGATGCACCCTTTACCACCAACATCTTCCTGGCCCTGGCGGATGCCTGCCCCAACCTAGAGGAGCTTCACATGAACAGCATCCTCGCAGACTCTTTTCAAGACTTTCAGCCATTTATCATTAAGATGACCAAGCTCAAGGACCTGGACATTGGCAATGTGTTCCCCGAGTTGGCGGACGCCAACATGATCAGCATTGTCGATGCCCTTCCAGACTTGCGCTGGATTTCTGTCGCCAACACACAGATCACCAACGTCTCGCTTGCATACTTGGCAGAGAAGGCTTCCAGTCTATGCGATCTCTGTATTCTCGGATGCGACCAGGTGACGAAGGAGGGATTGATTGCCTTCTTGGACAATATGACTAACAAGGCGGGATTCCGTCGACTCGATATTGCATACTGTCGGTTGGACGAGGCAGCGGTTACAGAGATCCGGGAGAAGGCCAAGGAGCTGACGATCCAGCATGGATTGAATGAGTTGATTGAGGTTGAGGGCGATGACCAGTTCGCCAACAGCCTTACTGACGAGGAAGGAGAACGAGAAGAGGGAACTGAAGATGATGATGAAGAGGGAGAAAATGAAGCTGGAGAGGTCGAAGGCACTGTTGAGGATGCAGAGGATGAGGAGGGTCAAACTGCCCTTGAGGAAATTGAGGAAGATGAGGAGGAGGTTTTGGTGACTGGACTGGATGCAGCCATGATCATGAACCAGGACTCGGAGAGCGAAGCAGAGCAGGCAGACGAGTCCTCTGAAGATGAGGAGGACCTGAGCGACTACAGCGATGCTTTCTCTGATGTCGACGAGGACGACCTGAGCGACGTGGACCTGGATCTATAGTAAGCACATTTCAGCAGTGGTCGCCTTCCCCTTTTTAACATAAAATAGGGCGACACACACAAAAACACAAAAACACAAAAACACATAAAATAAAAATCACTACAACCAAGAACGATCAAAATGCATGCATGTATGACAAGCCATTCCTATTTAATGTTTGGGGGACGCAAGAAAGAAACTACAGTTCACAACTGTAACATAAACCTGTGTTACTTTAGGGATGGTGCCGATTATTCCGGTTGGGCGGTCAAAGAATCCACCATCTTTTTTGCGTGTGGGAGCTAGAGTGTAAGTGCAATTCAATTGTGCCCTGGAATTAACTGGGGCCGAGGGCGAGGGGAGACTTTCAGTTCGCAACTGAAAGAATGTGACCGTGTATTCTTCCTCATTCTTCATCTCTTCTTCTCTCCCTCTCTCTCCGGACACACACATATCCCAGTTATACCTTCACTCTCCCATTCCCTCACCACTCACATCCAACAAGACACCAGCCTCTTACTTCCTCCCCCGAATCAAGAGCTACCAGAATGGCTACAACCACCACTCCGGCGACTCGCGTTGTCAACTACGTTCGCTGATCTGCACTTGGCACCAGTGGCCAGGCCATCAGGATCCGCTCTAACTTTTTTGAGGCCACGCAGCTGCCCAACAACATGATCCACCATCACGATGTCACCATCACCCCTGATGGACGGAGTTGTCGTCTTTTGGAACCCACAGTCCGACGAGCCTGGCCATACCGGTCGACACGAGGTTGTCACTTCTTGTTAGAACCGGATCTTGGAGGGTTACAATGGTCGCGACGGTTTCAGCCTCTGTTGAGTTGGTCTGGGACACTAACATTGGCATGCTCGGCGCGCGGCAGGTATGTGGATTGACGTTGTCGTTGGTCTGGAGGCTGGTAGTCGGAGACTGCTGAAGCAACGATGGCTTTTGAGTGGGATGAAGCGGATGTAGGATTCGATAGCGTCTTGTAGGTCGCTAGTGAAGTTGGATGGTTTAATATCGCAAGAAGAAGAGAGGTGGTGGAGGCCGATAGATTGTTGCAGATATTTCTTTTTTATTAAACGCACAAGATCTTTCCTTACTCACTCCGCTTCTCGCAGATTAGAAAAAAAGCATGGCAGTTTATGATATTCATATTCACAGAGAGAAGATATTGGCCATCGCGTCCCGGCAATGCATGGAGCGGAGAGAAATGAACATCATATCTGATGCTAGACGTGGTTTCTTTGAAAATCAAATATACTAATTGTGTAGGAGTTGCTTTCTTTGATATGACTTTACAACACACTTTCCTCCAGTTCATTCTCACAGTTCAACATTTGACTTTTTTTTGCTGCATCTCTCATTGATGTGACGGCGTCAATGTTGTTGTTTCTTTCTTTTTGGGTCTCGCTCCCATCCTTGTGGGAGAGTGTGTCTTATCAATCGTCAAGAAAAGCTACAGAGGTAGAGAGGATCGGCTGTTTTTTGTCATTGTCGTTGCCTTAAAGAGAAGAAACAAAAATAGGTTCTTCTTATGGTCTTGTGAGTGGTAGTGGGAATACAAAGACTACTTTCGTTCGCGCAATGGTCAAGGGAGCATACACCTCCAAAAAGCCACTGCTCACGAGAGTGAGATAGACGAAATGAAAATAGGCCATTTGGCGTTAAGAATTTACGCGACGAATAGACACACAGGACGCGTTTTTTAAATGAGACAAGCTGGACTGCATTTGATACCTTGGAGGTTTCTGTTTTTCTTTCTATATTTTCTTTCTTCATTCTTTCTTTGTTTTTCTGCCCTTACACCTTACCATGTCACACACGTGCTTTTCACTCTATCTTACTATCCCGGTTCTCCTACCTTCTCACGCCACGACCTCCGTGTGACACAATGCCCTCCACTCCCATCCACACATCCAACACTCGAGTCGTCATAGAAGGCATGACCAATCCACTTGCTACGCGTTTGAAAACAAGGAGGAAGATAGAGAAGAAATGGAGTAGACGAGCAACGAATACTAGGGAAATGTCTTTTAATAAGGGAAAGTAACAATGAACTCACTATGGTTTGGTATATGCAAAGTGGCAATTGCTTCTTGTACCTTTGAAAGGACAAAGAAGTAAATAGGCCAAAATGCACAACCTTTTTCTAATCTAATTGCGGTATCTGCTCTGGTAATGGTTGTAAGGATTGGAGAAAAGGTACCTTTTCCCCTTGTGTGTGTGTGTGCATGGGAGTCATAGGCGCAAACACACATATCCAAGACACCCAAGTGCAAGTCAATGGAGCAAAAAAGGAGATGAGGGTTACACGAAAGGGAAACCATAGGCAGGACCGGGTCACCCACTCCTTACTTTTTCTCCCTTTCTCACCTCTCTCGTTGGTTGCCCCTTCTTCTTTTGCTCTCACTCATCACCTTCTTTGTCAACAGTCTCATTCGACATCTCCACTTCACCATCTCTTTCGCTGATCGCCGACTGTTCATTGCATTCACCACATTCGGAATCAGCACTCCCTCAGCATATAGATAAAAAGACCCGGCCGAAGAAGCAGCCCTGCGTCCTTTACACAACCACAACCACATACCTCAGCTACCAAAAAGAAAAAGAAAAAGAAAACACCAAAACACTTCTTGGCTCTTTTATTTTCTTACACCTCCATTTCCTCGGTACTTTCCGATACACCCAACTACCCGCCCACTCGCCCACTCGCCCACTCACTCACCTCGCAGCACTCGGTCTACGGTGAACAAGAACGCGACTTAAAGAATCAACCACTTTCTGCAAATGTGAGTCGGGATGCCCGCCTGGCTCTGGCACGAGGAGTGATTATCGATATCAGGTTGGCGTTGGTTGCTCACATACCCATTTCTCTCCCTTCTTTTCCTCCCTCACTCTCCTTGACTTTCCTTTTCTTTGCCATCCACACAGAAACACAAAAGCAAAGAACACAGACAGACAGAGAGACATACATACACTTTTCTCCAGATAACACCCGTCTCCCTCGGCACACACATTTGTCCCTCTCAGAAGAAAAACCAAAAGCCAGAACGCCGTTTCTTCTGGGTTTGTACGTTTCTTCTTTTTTTTATTACTCACGGAAACAAATGTGATTCAAAGTCAAACAGAACGGCACGAGAAGGGCTGAACATGCACGCATTGACATATCGGATGTTCTTTCGGGCGTTTTACCTATTTAGCACTGACTTCCTTCAGTCACCAACGTCCATACCCAAAGCAGTTGACACCATCTCCGCTTTTGAACCAAACACACAAGCAAGCAAGGTAAGAAGAAAAAACAGAAGCAATCCAGTATTACACTTAGCCCAGCATGGTTCACGACGACAGTTGCTGACATTTATGCTTGTCGAGCTCATCGGCTTTGCTATTGGCGCACCATAGACCTTATTCTTGGACACCATGACCATCCATCCCCTCAAACAAGTTGACCATGATGCGGTTGCTGGTGACGACCCCACTTTCCCTGCGGCTCTTGGAAAGGACGACCAACTGCTCAGGTCCCTGGACATCTCCAAGTCCAAGCCCAAGCGCTTGCCTACCCTTCCTAAAATCTCACTTGGTGTGTTCCTGAAAAACTTTCCCAAGTCAGCCATCAAGTCCAAGCAGCCTCGCCCCCAGCAGCGCATCACTTCCACTGCGGCTCTTGGAAAGAACGACCAACTGCTCGGGTCTTTGGACGTTTCCAAGTCCACGTCCAACCCCATGCCTACTCTTCCTAGTGTCTCACTTAGTGTGTTCCTGAAAAACGTTCCCAGATCAGGCATCAAGACCAAGCTGCCTCGCCCTCAACAGCGCATCGAGAGGACAGACCAATTGGTCTATTGCAACTCCTTGCTGCTCCAGGAGTCACTTGCCTTGCCGTCGTCCGAGCAGGAACCTACTCTTGACAAGGATGAGCTGGCCTGGCTGACAGAGATCAAGAATGACCCTATGGAGCAAGATCGTTTGCAATGGCTTGCAACTCGTATGGTAGAGGCGTTCATCCAGGAGGGCATAAAGGACTCCATCGAAATCGCCGAGATTGTCGCTCTAGGACCTATCCTGGAGAAGGAGTCCTACCGCAAGCTGTTGTCTTCCTTAATCACAGGGTTTGAGGAATCTCCACTCATGGATACAAACCTGCTCCAAGGGCTTGTCCAGTTGGTTCAATCCTCCTCTCCAGGTCACCTTGTCTCCGATGACCTGATCAAAATCCTCAGCATTCTCAGGATCCGATTGCAAGGCACCCACCAACAGTCAACTGAGCACCCCTACTACCTCACCTTGGCAATCTCCAGAGTCCTTGATGTCATGGCTGACCACAAGATCCAGGATCTGGACAGAGTTCTTGAGCACGAGCCTCTGTCTGGGGTCTTGTCAGGGTTGAAGGGCAGCACCGATCCTTACCTCATGTACCAAGCCTGTTATGCCTTCCAGGCCCTGCAGTATGTGCCCAACAATGAGACTGTTTTGCAGGCAGTCTTGCGTCATTCGCAAGGTGTGGTGGATGGCGTGGTTAAGATTACGGCACTGGGCAAGCTGGATCTGGGATCAGTACTCGAGGGACTGGGAAATCTGCAAGATGCACTGGGGAACATTATTGGTGTTGCAGGCACTGTGTACGAAGGAACAAGTTCCCTGATGGAGAGTGGTCAAGGGGTCATGGAGAGTTTGAAGGAGAGATATGGAGCCGGCCAGAAGAGACCCTGGTATGCTGCCATTCGTGCCGCCTATGCTCTTGCAGAAGCCGGTCAGTTGAAAGACCTCAACCGTTTGATCTGCGAGGCTCCCTGTCGTCGTGACCCCTTGTTCCAATGGGGGATCTGCCAGTTGTTGGGTGAGGTTGCGATCGATCTCATCTGGCCAGCGACCTCTCGCCAGCAAGCCAATGAACTACTTGGTCGCCTCTACAAGAGTGACCCAGAGTGGGGTAGAGATGAAAGTGTCAAGGTGTGGATGGTGACCATCATCGACAAGGTGGGATCTATTGCCGACCAGGAGGTTGCCGCCAATGCTCTAACTCTGAAGCAGGAGCTCGCCTCAGGCGACACTCCTGCAACCCGCCACCCTTACCCATTGAGGTTTCGTCTGCCGATCCCAGCCACGTCCCCGATCCTTGCAAAGGTCCAGGACATCCCTTACCTCGAGTACGAGCTGTACAAGCTTCGATTACAGCGACTCCAAGAATACGATGAACGAGCGATTTACGTCCTTCCAGAAGCAAAACCATCGCTCCTGGCCAAGGATGATGAGTTGTTTCCCCTGTTGGAGAAGGTACTGGAGTTTCTTGCCAGTGACTGTCAGGTCATGCTTATCCTGGGCGACTCTGGCGCCGGAAAGTCGACATTCAATCGATACTTGGAGCACTTGCTTTGGAAGGAGTACAAGCGAGGTGGGCCAATCCCACTTTTCATCAACTTACCCGCCATCGACGAACCCCAGAACAACATGGTCGACAAGCAGCTCCAGTTTCTCAACTTTGATGAGGATCAGATCATGGAGCTCAAACTGCACCGCCAATTGATTCTCATATGCGACGGATACGACGAGAGCCAGCAACTCATCAACTTGCACACGGCTAACTCGCTTAACCAGACCGGACAGTGGGACACCAAGATGGTCATCAGCTGCAGATCCCAGTACCTCGGACGGTCATACCAGGATCGTTTCAAGCCTCAGCCTACCGACCGATATAAGTGGACCCCTCAGCGTGTCTTCCAGGAAGCCGTCATTGCTCCCTTCTCCGAGGAGCAGATCGAGGACTATATCGAACAGTATGTTCCTCTCGAACCAAGAACCTGGAGCACCGAAGACTACATGGACAAGTTGACTACGATCCCTAACCTCATGGATTTGGTCACGAATCCGTTCCTCCTCTTACTCGCGCTCGAGGCACTTCCCGATGTCACCATGGGCAACCAAGACCTTTCCACAATCAAGATTGTCCGTATCCAACTCTACGACACCTTTGTCAATCACTGGCTCAATGTCAACAACCGACGGCTCCAAAGCAACCCCTTATCCAAGCAGGATTACGACATGTTGGGAATGCTAGAGGATGCGGGATTTGAAGCTATGGGCGTGGACTACTGTACGAGACTGGCATCGGCGATGTTTGAGAAACTGGACGGAAAGGCTGTCGTCCAGTATCTCCACCTCAAGGACAAGACGACGTGGAAAGTCGAGTATTTCGGTCCGGACCCAGAGGTGCGACTGTTGCGAGAGGCTTCTCCAGTGACCCGTTCAGGAACCCACTTTCAGTTTCTTCACCGGTCGATGCTGGAGTATTTCTTTTCCTGTACCGTTGTCCGTTCCAGTACCTCTGTGCCTGTTGACGAATGCGCTCCCCAATCGACACCCGACTCTTCCGACGTCCAATCGCTCGACCCCATGTGCCCTTTGTTCACGCGCAACCTTCTCGACGAGCCCCCCGTTTTACAGTTCCTCAGCGAGCGAGTGCAGGAGAATCCTATCTTCAAGGGCCAGCTCCTCGAGGTCGTCGAGAGGACCAAGACCGATGTTTCCTTCGTGACCGCGGCAGTCAACGCCATCTCCATCCTGGTCAAAGCCGGCGTGACCTTCCATCGACACGATTTCCAAGGTATTCGGATTCCAGGGGCCGATCTTTCCGGTGGGCAGTTTGATTCGGCGCTGTTTCAAGGGGCTGACCTCAGGGGCGCCAATCTTGGAATGAGTTGGCTACGCAAGGCGGACTTCAGTAACGCGCTGATGGAGGGTGTTCGATTCGGGGAACTGCCGTACTTGGAGGAAGACGACGATGCTTGGTCATGTTGCTACTCGCCTGATGGAAGAATGCTTGCGGTCGGTCTGCAACGTGGAGGTATTAGCATATACGACACATTAACCTGGGAAAAAATCCACTCGCTTGCAGGACATGACGGCGACATCAATTCATTGGCGTTATCACCCGACAGTCAGCGGTTGGTATCTGGAAGTGTGGACAAAGCAGTGCGAGTGTGGGATTGCGGCAACGGTAATCTTCTTGCGACCATGAACGGACACACGCGCAATGTGTTCTTGGTGGATTTTTCTCCTTGCGGCAAGAAAGTCGCGTCGGCCAGCGAGGACAAGTCGGTGCGATTATGGGACTCGGTGACAGGAGAGCCGCTGTTTGTGTTGGAGGGTCATAAGGGCGCTGTCAACAGTGTCAAGTTTACACCGGATGGACGTCGGCTTGTGTCGTGTGGTGACGACAAGACGATTCGATTCTGGGATGTAGAGACAGGAGCGCCAGGGGATGCTTGGGAGCTGGATCATGGACCTGTTATGTGTCTCGACATTTCACCTGATGGTCACCAGCTCGTATCTGGACATCGCGGTGGCACTCTGAGGCTTTGGAGCACCGCCTCTGGGTCAGCAGGACCTGACTTATATGGCCACGCCAACAATATCGTGAGGGTTCTATTTTCTGCCGATGGTCAACGGATCGCTTCAGCTGGCTTTGACTCCACCGTCAAACTTTGGGACGCGTCATCTGGCGTCCTCGTCTCCGAGTTCAGCTGCAATATTATCCCCATCGATATTTCTTTCTCGTCGAACGGAGAGCATCTCGCTGTCATCGATACTTCCAGCGAGGTTCGTCTGTGGGATGCGGACTCAAGCGGATCCGGCCTTGGACTATATGGACATTCCTCTTTAGTCATGACAGTCGCGTATCTACCTACTGGACAGTTTATCTGGTCGGCAAGCTTGGACAAAACCGTTTTAGAGTGGGACGCTCGAACAGGTGCCGTTGGATCTGCCCATTCTCTTCCCGTCGATCCCGTATTTTCAATCGCATTTTCACCGGACATGAATCACACGGCGGCTGGGTTCCGTGATGGGAGTATCCAATTGTGGGACCTTGGAACTAGCGAACTTGGACCTACCCTAGAAGGACACACTGGTGATGTGGTGAGGTTGACGTATTCACCATGTGGTCAGTGGATTGCGTCTGCCAGTATGGACAAGACTGTTCGGTTGTGGGAGCCGGAGAGTACCGAGCAAGGACATGTTCTAGCCAACATGGACTGCGGTAGTCACGGAGCCACCAGTGTGATATTCTCGCCGAAAGGACAGCAGCTTGCGGCCGGTGATGTGGATGGTACGGTGAATATCTTCGACACCCAATCAAGGACGCTTTTCAGGACAACGACTTTGGAGGAGACTATTGACGCCTTGGCCTACTCCCCAAACGGCCAAGAGCTTGCTATTAGCACCAAGGGCCTTTTATTCTTCTGGGACCTTCAGTCGAAGGAGCCTAACCTCAAACTGGAAGCTGACCCTTCTGGTACTGGCTGCATCGTTTACTCACCCTGCGGGAGATGGATCGCCTGTGGAAGTTACGGTAACACCGTCCAAATTTACGGTCGCCACTCTAGTGGTATGGGGGCCAAGTGTGTTGTTGCTGTTGTCGATGGATTCCTTCGCCGCGTTACCGATATCGCCTGGAGCCCCGTTGAGCCGCTGGAGTTTGTCACTAGTAGTAATGATCGGTCTGTTCGTGTTTGGCGGATGTCGAAGAGCAGTGACAGTGATGGTGGAGTGTCTGTTGACCTGATCTGGGGATCCGACATCGGTATGCTTGGCACGTTCGGCATGATACTCGAGGGCGCTACTGGTATTAATGCCATCAACCGGAAACTGCTGCTTCAGCGGGACGCCATCGATACATTGGCCTCAGGGGCAAATGAGGCGGAAGTAGGTACCTATGGCGAGTGAGAGTCGAGGGCAGCTTTGTTTAGGCGCAACAAGGACCGCGGCTTCCTTTGTACACTTTTTTTTTTTTCAATACACTTTTTTTTTCCACTTCTCGCAATGCTGCAAGTACTGCACATGAACATTCAACACCACGCCAGCTTAGACCGAATTGAAAAAGAGGAGAGATTGCTAAGAGGTCTGTGCACACTCGACACCTTGACAGCCAATCCTTTGTGGCTCTTGGGGCCAGCATCCCTCAGCAGCACTTGCAGGAATCTCTTGTCTCTGTCTGCTCCGCACATCGAATATAGAAGTCTAGTACCCTCAAAGCCAAGACTTCGAAATAACCAAATCCGCGACTTCGGTAATGGCAGCAATGTTGGAACCACCACTTCTCTGTGATGGATCGTTTGCCTGGACTGGCATGTGGAAGTCTAGTGTATGTGCAGTTGTGGCCTAGATTAAGCACAATGGTCTGGAACAAAAAGAAGAGAGTGTTCAGATGGTAATTAAGCCTTTTAATTCACGTCGCCTTTGTTTCCGTCAGACATTCGTCATTCTCTTCTCGCTCCTTTTTCTTTCTCTTTCCTTCTTCCTTCTTCTTTGTTCCTCTCTTCCTCTCTTCCTCACTCACCTTCTCTCCCTCTCTCTCCAGACACACACACATATCCCCGTTGTATCTTCACCCTCCCATTCCCCCACCACTCACATCCAACAAGACACCAGCCTCTTACTTCCTCTCCCGAATCAAGAGCTACCACAATGGCTACAACCACCACTCCGGCGACTCACGTTGTCAACTACGTTCGCCGACCTGGACTTGGCACCAGTGGCCAGGCGATCAGGATCCGCTCCAACTATTTTGAGGTCACGCAGCTACCCAACAATATAATCCACCAGTACGATGTCACCATCACCCCTGATGTGCCTCCTCCCGTCAACCGCAAGATCTTTCACCAGGTCGCGACCTCCTATGGTGCCTCCCACTTGAATGGTGCTCGAGCAGTCTACGATGGTCGCAAGAACATATTCTCTGCTCGCGCCTTTGCCTTTGAAAGCCATACTTTTGAGGTTAGAACACAAAAGGTGTTTTCAATTTGTGTGGTTATTTTTTTGGGCTGTAGCGGATTGGGTGCACTGACCAACTAGTAATGGCAATACCCAGGCCCATTAATTTTGAACCGTCGTTATTTTAACAACAATAATAACAACGACCACAACAACTAGGTCACACTCGCCAGCGACGTTGCCATGGCTCTTAACCCGGCGCGCCCCCCACCAAAGTTCAAAGTCAAGATCAGAAAGGCAGCATGCATCAACCTCGAAGAGCTTCACAGATTTCTGAACGGACGTACCTCCTTGACCAACAACTGCCTCACTGCCATCATGGCCCTGGACGTGCTGATTCGTCACCAGCCAGCCATGCTTTCTGCGACAGTCGGTCGGTCCTTCTATACCCCTGTTGGCAGTCAAGCCCTTTCCGGTCCTTTGGATGTCTGGCTAGGTTATTACCAGTCCGCTCGTCCTACTCTCGGTACGTTGTCGTACCTTTTGATTTGTGCATCTGTGTATCTAAGTGTTTGTGTCGAGCAGGTTGCCACCAAGGTTTATTTTTTGGTGGGCCAATCGCTTGTTTGTGAACTCAAATTATGACCATACTTGCCCTCTTTCTCTGGTTACATATGGACCGACAGGCAGGATGATGATTAACATGGATGTCTCGGCCTCCGCCTTCTTCCGCCCTGGTCCACTGCTCGATATGGTCGCCAAGATCGCGAATGTACAACGCGTTGGTAAGTTACTTTAAGTTACTTTGCTAGGACCCTATCGTTTATTAAAGTTCAGAGCAATACAATCGCTATTCATTGCGTCCGTTGCAACAATTTTAAACTCCTCTGTCCCGTCTTTCATTTCACATTTATTAATACTCTCTTTGTAGATGACCTGCGCCGTACATTTCCTCCCATCAATTGGAGGGCGATTGAAAAGGTCATTAAGAGTCTCCGATTCACCGTGAACCATCGCCGTAATGTCAAGAGATCCTTCAAGATCCTCGGCCTGACAACAACCGCGGCAAAGGACACAAAGTTCATGCAGACGATCCGAAGCACCAGCGAAGCTGCTGCACCAGAGGCGCAAGTTGAGACTGATGTCGTTACCTACTTCAAGCAGGCGTACAACATCACCATCAACTTCCCTATGCTTCCTTGCGTCAAAGTGGGCCCGTCCATCGCCCTGCCAATTGAGCTGTGCTTCGTCCTTGAAGGCCAGCGGTACTTGAGGAAGCTTGACAAGGTCCAGACAGCCGAGATGATCAGGTTCAACAGCCAACCTCCCCAGGCACGCTTCAACAAAATCAAGGATGGTCTCGAGATCCTTAGGTACAATGATAACGAGTTCCTCAAGGACTTTGGCATGAAGGTCTCCAACGAGATGGTTCAGATCAACGCCCGTGTCCTTCCGGCACCCACTGTCTGCTACCATAGCCAGTCTCAGAATGCCAATTTTGTCCCCCGCGATGGTGCATGGAATCTGAGGGGCATGAAGGTTTTCGATGGCAGGACTCTCAAGTTATGGGGTATCGTCGTCTTTGGCACAGAGAGAGACTGCCCCAGGCCTCTCGTCAATGGGTTTATTCAAGAACTCATTGTGTCTTGCACAGAGACAGGCATGAACATCCCCAACAAGCATCCCCTGATCAAGTACTCTAACCCACATGGAAATATCGATGCCGACCTCTTGAGCGTTTATCAGCAGATAGGCAATGAAGCCTTGCAGACAAACGACAAGGCCAATAGTCTGCCACAGCTGTTGGTCTGTATTCTTCCGAACATTGGTGTCCCCCTTTATGCTAGCATCAAACGCGTCACCGACACGTCCCTTGGCGTCGCTTCTCAGTGTGTACAGAGAAGTCATATCCGCATGCCCAAGAAGTCATACTGCGCCAACGTTTGTCTAAAGATCAACGCCAAGCTCGGTGGAACCAACCAGCGTCTCGCCAAGAACATGATGCCTTTCATGAGCGAACCCGCTCTCATTTTGGGCGCCGATGTCTCCCATCCTCAACTAGGTAACTTTTTTCATGCATCCCTTCTGAGCGCTTTTTTTCTTTTCTTGTGATTGAAAAGGCTTTTTTGTACGTGTTCAATTCATCTCTACTATTCATTCCTGACGTTATGATAGGTGACACCACCCACCCGTCGATCGCCGCTCTGGTTGGGTCAGTAGACGCACATGCTGCGCGCTATGCGGCGACAGTCCGCGTTCAAGCGGCGAGAACAGAGATGATCGCTGACCTAAAGGGCATGGCTGTAGAGATTTTGAAAAGTTTCTATAAAAGGTATGTCTTTATCTCTGCTCGGGAGTAGAGGCACTTGGGAGTGAACACGACTGTTTTCTTTCCGTATGTGGGTCGTCGTACTTTGCTTAACAACCTTTAGCAATTACTCTACATTCGTTACCCCTTTAGCTGTGGTCAGAAGCCAAAGAAGATTATATTCTACCGCGATGGCGTCTCCGAGAGCCAGTTTGCAGAGGTACTCAAGAGCGAGCTCACTAGCTTGAAGGCCGCTTGCGCGTCATTGGAGCAGGGATACAATCCCAAGATCACATTTGTCGTCGTCCAGAAACGCCATCACACTCGCTTCTTCCCGGTTCACCCCAGCAACTGCGACAGAACAGGAAACTGCAAGCCAGGAACTGTGGTCGACCAAGGGGTTGTCCACCCCTTCGAGTTTGATTTCTATCTCCAGAGTCATGCCGGTATTTTGGGCACCTCCCGCCCTGCGCACTACCACGTGCTGTTCGACGAGAACAGGTTCACCTCAGATGCGCTGCAGGACCTGACTTACAAACTGTGCCATCTGTACGCTCGCTGCACCCGAGTCGTCTCGTACGCGCCGCCGGCCTATTATGCACACATTGTTGCAGCTCGAGCTCGGTTCCATCTTCCTGGTTGGAGCGATGACAATACTTCTTCCGAGGCTGTCGCTCACACAGTGAGCGCGTACCCTTCTGTCAAGCCCAACCTCGCGAATGGTATGCATTTCTTTTTTTTTCCGAGTTTGAGAAATGCTGGTGCTCCGCCCTGTCCGGTTCGTTTCATGTGGTGTGGAATCTGGCACTAATATCTGTCTTTTTGTCTCTTATTTCACCTGCCTGTAGTTATGTGGTTTATTTGAAAGTCTACATATCTACCTCGGGGTTCCAAACCCCACAAGCACGAACATGGTCTTTACCTAGTCCAAAAAGAACATACGTACAATAGCCCTTTTGAACACTTGATTCCCTCTCGCTTCTGAGCATCAGTACCACACACACAGTTGAAATAAAGAAAATCTGTGAAAAACGAGAACATAGATCAAGATAAACCCGATCGGGATATTGAACACAAAGGCTTTGCATTGGTGGGCAACTGTGGTTGCCTCGATACCTTTTAACGCGTGCTAAGAAAAAGAAAGACAAAGCATGGAAAATATGCGAGGGGAAGACAAAAGGGACTCGTTTCTCTTTATCATCCCATGTATTTTTTTGTTCGGTTAAGCGGTTTGTGTTGTGCAGTACAGAAACAATAATCTGGGCGAGGATAGTCGATCGTCAAGGGGTTGTTGTTTGAGACAAGGACGATAAGTGGTATCAGGCTGTGTATGTCCGACAATTTTTCGTATATATTATTTCAGACATGACATTGAGAAGAGAGAATACCTAAGGCCTTTCCATGATGTACTTTTTTCCTGTGACCAAACGGTGCAGAGGGATAGTGCCGCCATAGAAGAAAACAAACGGAACGAGACGGGGGTGGGAAGAATCCAAGAAAGAAAAAAACGTGAAAGAAATGGCCTCTTGTCCTCCCATGTGTCCGCTTTCCTCCTGTCCCCCAAAATCGCGCGTCCTGATCTTCACGGGACCATATCCATTGCATCAATCCCATCATCGCCCCATGGCAGGGGGGAAAAAAAGACACCCCACCACAGGCACCCACATCCCCATCTCTTGTGCTTTGGAAAAGCGGGTCTTTCCTGGCCATATGGGTGAACCACAAGTGAGATCAAACTGACAGTCCCCACCCTTTCCCTTGGGCGAAGCAATACCGTTCACAACTTTTTTTTTCCTGGTCACATTTCGTTGCACCTTTCGATCAGCAACCAGGAAGCAGGGGACTGACTGGTTGAAGGGCAAAGAAAAAAAATATACATCCTATTCGTTGTCATCCCTACATGACAACAAGCGCTCAGGAGCGGACAGAGTGGTTCTCGTATCCAAGTGTGAAAGGAAAGATGGTCAAGGGTTGGAACAGGGGCTACTTTTGAATCGAAAAAAAAAAAAAAAAAAATTACATCCACAACTTTATTTTTTGCGTTAGGATCTTGGTCACCCAGATCAATCTCAGAAATGGGGGATAGATTCGAAGGGGTTCATATTTCCGGAATAAACCCAGTCGCCGTTGTAGGAACGGATATATTCATACAAACCCCCATGGTGGAAAAAAGGGGAGGAAGACTTTTGAAAGGGAGAGGTGGAAGCAGTGAGAGGGGAAGAATCATATATTTCCTTTTCGACGACAAGGTGAGAGCGTCCTTGTGTGAGTAGGCGAGACGAGGGGTCGAGGTGTTTCGTTTTTGCTACTTAGAATCGAGAAGGTTTGCATGTGCGAAGAACGAGAGAGGGAGAGAGATAGAGACAGAGAGGGAGAGAGGGAGAGAGAGGCAGCATACAAGGAATGCAAAGATGATGGTGCAAGGGAGGGAAGTTGGCAATGGTGAAATCAAAAGGAGAGGCAGAGAAAATAGGGCAGAATGAGAGTAAGAACCGGGTGCTGTGCTGGGAGGACAGAAGGGACATTGTGTGGAGTCGGGTTCAGTCCTGCGCATGATTAGGCAACGCGAGATAGAGTTCGGAACACAAGTCGATCGCAGATGCAGTAGCAGTCATGTACACTTTTCATCGTTGGACCGTGTGAATCATTCGATTTGTGTTGAACAGGAGGGGATGTGGCTTTTTATGTACAAGGCTAGTTGGGCCATTTTTTGGAGAAAGAGAGAAGGGGGGAGGAATGATAAACGAACAACAAGAAAGGTGGTGTACAAGAGAATGAACAAAAGGTAGCACTCGTAGTGATGAACAAGAAAGAAAAAAGAAAAAGTAAAAAGAAAGAACAAAGATATTTCTAAGCACGGCAGCGACGGCCACGAGATCCAGAGGCGGTGGTGACATGACTCTCCTTGCCCTTGGCATCAGACAATCCTGTCTTGAGAACGCTCATCGAAAGAGCTGCCGCAGTCTTCTCGTCCTCAGCTGCCGTCATGGCTGCCATACCAGCCGCCATTGCAGCCATCGCATTGGCAATCGCCGCAGATGCCGCAAGTGCCTCTGGGCTGGTATCCTCCACGACCTCCTTCTTGACCGCATCCAGATCAATCGACGAGTCCGAGTCCTTGGAGTTCGATTTTGTTGTAAACGCGTCAGGGCAGTAGCTGTATCCATATCCGCTGCCCTGTCCAAGTCCTGCTCCAGCTCCTCCAGCTGCAGTGCCCTCGCCATCGACTCCTCCAGCCAACGTCTCACTGTTCTTCAACAGGTCTTCGCAAATCTCGTCAACACCTTCCATCGCTTCCATGACACCCTTGCCAAAGACGGTGAGACGGTAGACCCACTGGCGGCCTCGCTTGATCCCAAAGCTCTCAAAACGTGGACGAGGATGACCCTTCTCGTGGGCCAACGCGTCCGAAATCTGAGCGCGCCAGATCTGAAGATTCTTGTGGCCAGTCCTGGGGATCCGGTTGAGGTATCTGCTAAACAGCTTCTCAACCATGCTGGCAACATCGTTGAGCGTGCCCTGGAGATCTGGCAGTCTGGCCAAGGACAAGAACGCCATCTGCGAGTAGGTCGGGAGCTTTGACGAAGGGTCGGGTTTAGAGCGGCGAGGTTGAGCGTGCCCGTTGCCCTTGACGAATCCTGGGTCTGTCAACACCTGACGCCGCGAACGAACAGAGTGGACCGACCGGTCAAGAGTCTCGGCAATATCCTTGATGGGCATCTGGTCGTCAACCATTTTCAGCAACAGCTTTTCCTCCTCTGTCGTCCAGGGTCGCTTGTTCTTGGCGTTGGCGTTCTTCTTTTTTACAGGGCGACTGCTGGTCGATTCGGTGGCCGAATCCATGATCACATCATCCTCCTCCTCCTCTGCTGATGATCCAGTTCTGTTCAAAGCGTCCTTGGTGTGGGAGGGGGTGATTGGCGAGACGGGGGATGATGGCTCGACAGTAGCGGCGCCCTTCACAGGGATAGACGGAGGAGGCAAGTCGATTTTCTCGAGAGCTGAAGAAATATCCATGACAGAGGGGTGCATAGGCGGCGTTGTCCTAACAGACGCTGGGGGCGAAGGGAGTGCTGTCAGGATGGGCGAGAGACTAGGGGAGACACTTGTCATTTGTTGTTGTCGGCTCAGTTTGCGCTTTTTGGCACGTCCTGGCTGTGTTGTTCCTGGCTCGGCGTGCGATTGATTGTTGTTCCTTTTCGCTCCTGTAACCTTGTGTCTCGCATTGTGCTGTTCGATTGCAGACTCCAGCTTGAGTTGGATGATGGGTGAGGTGCTGGCAGTTCGACTGGTAGGCTTGGAGGCACCGAAAGCGGGCTTGGACAACTTGGGCACGGTAATCTTGAGAGCTGTTTTGGCGTGCTCGGGCCTGGGAGATGGAGGGAAAGAGGAAGGGAGCGAACTGATGTTGGTAGGCAGGAGCAAAGGTGACGTCAATTCTGGTGTAACCGAACCCGAGGAAGACGGCGAAGAAAACGAGTGTCCTGGCGACATAGGGTCGTCTTCTGGGTCAGCTGTTTCCATAAAGACATCCTCCATCGCGCTCGAGTAAGGGGTTGTTACCCCGGCCGATAAAAATGATGAAGCGGCAGGCCCCGGATCTGATGTCCCCATCTCTGGCTCGAATTCGGATTTGACCGCCAGCAAGGGTTCAGGCTTTGTAGAGAATACGCTCGGACTCGCCGCGGTCTCGCCCATCATGGGCATGTTTGGATTTGTTGGGGTCTGCGTCTGGGTCTGTTGTCCATTGTAGAGAAAGGACATGGCAACGATGGGCGCTTCCGTGTGGGTTGAAAAGTACTTTTCACGCTGGGTGGTCGACTGCAACTCGTCGAGGAGAAGGCGATAGAGGTCCTGGTTGGGCAGGGACACGACCTGTGATGACTCATAAATCTCCATGGCGGTGGTGTCCATATAGTTGACGGGTCCAAAGAGAACGTTGCTGCCGATGTCGTTATCGTTGTCGTCCTTGGCCTTGATACTGCTGGTGTCAAGGGTCGAATCGGAAGTGTCCTTGCTCATGGTGTCCGCGGTGGCATGGTCATATTGCGAGACAGAAGAGGAGGAAGAGGAGGAGGTGGCGGTGACAGAGTGGGAAGAGGGAGAGACGACAGCGACGGAGGATGCAGTCAAGACGGGAGAGAGGTGGTGGTGGGAAGAGAGATCTTGAATCGCAGCAGGTGTGGCAGATAATGAACTTGCCGAGACAACGTGATCCTCTGGCTCGTCGTCGTCCTCCTGCTTGGCATAGATGTAGTCATAGATGTTTAGTTCATCGTCGGCCTCGGCGGGCAGGACAGAAGAGGGGGCGTGCTGTTGAAGCAGCATTGACTGCGACCCCTGACGGACCCCTGTCGGATCGCTGGTCATTTCTTGCAACAGGAACGCACGCGTGATATCCTCAACTAGCTGTCTATCATGCGTTGGCTGGTGTTGATTGTGGTGGTGGTGATGGTGTTGGTGGTGGTGGTGGAAGGTCATTTCCTGGTGCCCTGGCGGTTGTTGCTGAAGAGACTGGTTAGAGTAACCCTGGTGGCTGAAGGTATCGAGGGCACCCGTTGTGGACTGGAGTTCTTGGACGTGACTCTGTTGATCAGACGCGCGTAGTTGCTGCTGGTGCTGGTGCTCCTGGGAAGGGAGGGTTGGGGTCACTTGTCCTACGTCGGTCATGGTCGCTGCTTTTTGTTACTGGATGTTTTTTGGCTGTTGGCTGTTTGGAGAGAGTGGGGAGGGTGCAATTGATAGAAGCAAAGGCAGGCAGGCAGGCAGGCAAGCAGGAGGTGTTGATCGCGGGGGTGTATTAATCGGTTGTACTGTTCGTTCGCTCGTACGTTGTCGTGTTATTGCTTATTGCTTGCTGATTTGCTTGTTTCGCTTGGACAATGGTTGTATCGGTATGGGGATGGGTATGGGGTTTATGCACAATTGGAATAGCCTGGTGTGGGTGTGGGACGATAAGGGAAGATGGAAGAAGGAAGAAGGAAGAAGCCAAAGGAAGGAAAGAAAGAAAGAAAGAAAGAAAGGCTCGATATCAGTTTCGAATCGCTTATGCGCTTTTCAGGTCGTGTCTCTCTCTCTCTTTCTCTCTCCTTGTGGGTGTCTGTCTCCGTTTGTCGGGGGGTGAAGTGGCCGTCAAGGTCAGTCAGTTCTTCGACCCCTCACCACCACCAGCAACCAACCAACGACGAAGAACCACAACTCTTTATCTCGCGATAGCAAAAAAAAAGGTAGGATAGAGAAAGTAATGGAACGGAAACAGCATACAGGGGCGTGAAGAAGGAGGTGGTGACATGCAAAACGAGTAGAAAGGTACATGGCTGATCATGAGAGAGAGAGAGAGAGAGAGAGAGAGAGAGAGAGAGAGAGAGAGTGAAAGGGGGGGTCATGGGTGTTGTTGTTGTCCATGTATGTGTGTATTCGGTTGCATCAATGTGTTTTGTTGTCCTTTGGCGAGTGTGTGTTCATGGGACCGTTCTTACCACCGAGGTGAAGAGGAAGAACTGATGGTCGCGAAAAAAGAAGAGAGAGTGGGAAAGTGGACTGTACAGAGTAGAAGGAGGGAGGGGAACACCCGATGGACGCGTGAGAGGATCAGGCGAGAGCGGGATGGGCGGGTGTAAGAGGGGGAGTGTGTTTGTTTGTTGATGAGAGAAGTGAGTAGGAGTTGAAGTTGAGAATGAATGTAACAAGAAAGGAAAAGGAAAGAGAGAGAGAAAGAGAGAGAGAGAGAGAGAGAGAGAGAGAGAGAGAGAGAGAGAGAGAGAGAGAGAGAGAGAGAGAGAGAGAGAGAGAGAGAGAGAGAGAAAGAAGAAAGAAGAGTTAGAGGAGGGGAAAAAGAAAAGGAAGGTCCAGAAAAGAATAATCGAAAGGACATACAATCCAGGTGAGCAAGAAATGTAAGTAAAGTACAGTAAAGTGGGCAATGGGATGGGGCAGGTGTTGTTGCCTTGACCAAAAAAAGGGGCCACAATAGATTAGCTTGGACTGTTCTAGCTGCTTTGCCTCATTTCTGTATCTGTCTGTTCGCATGGCCATGGGTTCACTGCTATGACCATCACCGTTCATCAACGATAACCTTGGTTAACTATCTTCCATAACTGATCATCTTATGGTGATGATCACCACTAGCAAACCGCATATATCATCCATCAGAAAATAAAGAAAGAATGGCCCGGGGAACCCAGGCTTGATCACACAGACCAAAATATCACAGAAAAGTCAAGGACAGGACAGGAAGGTCTCACTCGTCCGGTCCATCACATCAGATATGAAAATGGGATTTCTTCCCCCAGAAAGAGAACGACAAACAGAGACAACAGAAGAAGACAAAGGAGGGTTCAAGACAAGCAAATCCTACCAGCTCACTCACTTGCTGACACAATTGTCAATTCATAGAAACGTCTAGCGGATGATACCACAAGCAGTCAAGCAAGTCGACTTTGCAGGATGGAAAATGGGAAGAAAGGCGAGGGATATTCAGGGGGGAGGGACAGGGAACAAAAACGAACGAACGTACCAAGGTCGAACAAACAAAACCCAAAGATTTGGGTGAGATGGGATAGAACGATGATGCCAATGATGATGATGGTGGCTGGCCTGAGGTGTGGAAAGAAAAGGAGAGGGTGGGCTGATAGAACGAGGGCAACAGCCTCATTGCCTCATACCCGTACCCCAGGCTATCTCCAGTTGTCAACAAATGGAAATTGAGTATGCATACACATACACCTTCCCATCTCTTGTGAATGTCACTTCTCATCAACTTTGTCGTTCATCAACGCGATTCATACTCCCCATGTACCCAGATCTCTTCTTTTCTCTTTTCTCCCCCCCCCCCCCCACTTTCTCATACTCAGGCTCATTTTTCCTCTCCTTCCCCTGCTAATAAAAGCAAAGCGCGCGAGTTCAATTGATTTCATTTTCTTCAAGGACGCGAGCGAAAATCTAATTTTAACCTGGCTGGCTGCTTGGCTTTGGCTGGGTCTTTTTATGTCTTTTCAGCCTGTTCTTGATGGCCCCAGAGAACACACATACAGAATACCCATAAAAGCGCGTTTCTTCATTGAACCTATACAAGCGAGCGTGAGAGGAGAGAAAAGGGTACGCCTCTCGCTCTCCTGCAATCCAATTGCTGATCCTTGCATGGATAACACCATGCTCTTTCGCAAAAAAAAAAAAAAAAAAAAACCACCTGTGAGTGTGATAATGTAGACAAAAAAGCGTGTGAACATTCATCAGGCCGTGCTTATCATCACAAAAACGCGCGCGTGCTAAAAGCAACAAATGAACACCACAAAATAAAGGAGAACAGAAACAACAAAAGTGTCGGGAATGTGTATGTGCGTGAACGCAATGGCTAATCCAGACCATGGGGTCAATCAATCGATACCCTCTGGACCTCTTCATAAACGCATGTAATAGATGACCAGTCCTCCCTCCTCTCCCGCTTTTGGAAGATCTTTTCCCACCATCGGTCGGTGCAACAAATTCTCCGCTCCAGTGAAACCACCAAAACGGCTTTACCACATCCATTTTCTCCCTCATTATGATATCGATTAGATGCTGCCATATGTAGGGAGCCGCGCTCAAAACAAAAAGCCAATAAAAAAACACGAGGAAACGTGTGTGGTTTCCCTACTTCTCTTGATCCTGGATGAGGTCGGATATGAATGGGTCTCCGCCCAGGTCACCTTTAGAAACCCTTAGAAGAGCAGAAGGCTTAGATGACCAAGATGAATTGGGGGGAGTGAAACTCAATTTGCATATGCAAGGCCCCTGGAAGGCCGTCTGATCGCACGCGTTGTGCCTTTTCATTTCCTTGGGCTTGGAGCGCCAGCCTGACCGTGTTTCTCTTTCACTCGTTGCAACATGATTTATTGAGCTCCCCTGGAGCCATGTTGTTGAGTTGTATGAACAATGGATGTGAATGATAGTAGGCGCATGTTGAGCAATTGAACTGATGGAGATCGATTGTGCCTCTGTTGATCAGTGCGCTCATATCTGCCAGTGTGCAATAGCTCGGTATCGAAGCAAATTGGTGGCGTAAAACTTCCATGTGTTGTCACCTCGCTTATTGCCACAGGCAGGTTGATAGAATCGAAGACAGAATCGAGTGGGAAAGAACCAATTGATGTTGCATGCAATCCCTCCTAGACTGGATCGCCGAGCATGGATTGACCTAGAGCGATCTTTGTGCGCACAGGGTTCTTATCTAGATCTGAACCAGGGTGACAACTTGTCTGTCATAATAATTGAGGCAGGCAAGCATCAAATTGGTAAGTTGCCACAAAGACAAGACGTGTTATGATACCGCCCGTAGGGTCGAATTGTCTAGTATGGCCATGGTATCCATCTTTTTTATTTTCCAATTGCCTCAACAAGGGTCACTTTGCATACATAGCCAGGAATTGAATGCAGGGGGAGCCAACAGATATGGCGACAAAGATCTTTTCTTGGACTGGCAAAATGATAGAGGGAGATAGGCAAAGGAAAGGAAGAAATGAAAATCGCAAATGTTACGAAGTGACTCTATCCGAGTCGTCCGTTGTTCCTTTCAATCATAGGCCGAGAAAAGAAAGTTGGGTCCTGTGGGGTCACCTTTGGCTCAAGGACAAAAAGAGACCGGAGGGGCACACGGACAGAAACACACTTTCACCTGCCTTCTCCTTTTCTTTCTTTTTTCTTTTACCTCATCACCCTCTCCTCTCCGCGCATTCACATTCACACATACACACAATGTTGCGTAACACCCTTTTCACCACCTCCAGGGCCATGCTCGCCCGCCAGGCCAGACCTGCGACTGCTTCAATCGCCGTAAGTCAATCTCCTCTCTCAAGTCGGGATCTGAATGACTAACCGAGAGAGACGGACACACTCAGAGTCTCTTCTAGGAACCAGCGGTAATTGCTTAGTAGTAGTCGTAGTAAATGGCTAACAAAAGACCTCTGGTTTTGTGTATTGATAGATCCGCGCTATGAGCCAGACTTCCTCCGTTGCCGCTCACAACCATGCCGTAAGGGACCATTTTGTTATGCCCTTGACTGTTTGTCGATCTCGTCCTATCCATCAAGTGACTGACTGATATAGATAATAATCCCTCCTCCTCCTTTCTAGTTGAGTCACGCCGATGTGGATGCGGACCCCAAGACATTGGACATTATCGATAAGCATGCCAAATACACCCTCACCACTTATGGCCGCCCTGCCGTCGTCTTCACCCACGGCAAGGGCTCTTACCTTTACGACGTTGGACACCGCGAATACCTCGACTTCACCGCCGGTATTGCCGTCAACGCGCTCGGACACTCCGATCCCGAGGTCGCCAGGATCCTCTTTGATCAGGCCAAGCAGGTCGTCCATCTCAGCAACCTTTACTACAACGTCCCCGCCGGTGAATTGGCCGAGCAGCTGATCGAGGGCACCCGTGCTTCAGGAGACTTTAACGCCTCCAAGATCTTTTTCTCCAACTCGGGAACTGAGGCCAACGAGGGTGCCTTGAAGTTTGCGCGCAAGGTTGCTAAACTCACAGCCAAGCCCGGTCAGGAGAACAACAAGTTTGGCGTTGTCTCGTTCAACAACGGATTCCATGGTCGTTCGATGGGCGCTCTTTCGGCTACCCCCAACCCCAAGTACCAGAAGCCCTTCCTGCCCCTGGTTCCTGGATTCGCCCATGCTCCCTATAACGATGTTGAAGCCGTTGATCAGTATGTCACCGAGGAGACCTGCGCTGTTATTGTCGAGCCCATTCAGGGTGAGGGAGGAATCAACGTTGCATCGGAGGCTTTCTTGAAGAAGTTGCGTTCTCGCTGTGACGAGGTCGGCGCCCTGTTGATCTACGACGAGATTCAGGTATGTATGAGCGAATTGGACAAACGGACAAAGGGCAATGGAAAGGATACATAAGAGACAGAGTCAGTGCCCTATGAAAGGGCGAGAACGAGATAAGATGCTTGTTCCGACCTTCTTTTCGTATTTTTTTGTCTGGGTTCAGCGTGAGAAGTTTTTGTTGCTTTCTTTATTGGGAAACTAACCCTGGTACTCTTTGTCTTGTATCCGGATGACAACCAACAACCTACTTTGTAGTGTGGACTGGGTCGTACAGGCAAGCTCTGGGCCCACCAGCACTTTTCTAAGGAGTGCACGCCCGACATCCTCACGATGGCCAAGCCTCTGGCCAACGGCTTCCCCATTGGTGCTATCATGATCACAGACAAGGTTGCCGAGAAGATTGCCATCGGTAATGACTGCTCTTTTTTTTCTTCTTTTGGTGAAGGAGAGGTACATGGTGAAGAATGACTGATACTGACAGCATATGCCGACACTTCCTACTTCTTCCATCGTAAAGGTGACCACGGAACCACCTTTGGAGGAAACCCATTGGGCTGCGCTGTTGCATCGAGCGTCCTCCGTAGGATCAACAACCCCGAGTTCTTGGACAATGTCAATCAGACCGGAGAGCATTTCAAGGAGCAACTCGAGTCGATCCAGTCGCCCCTTATCAAGGAGATTCGCGCCAAAGGCATGATCCTCGGTATGGAGTTCAAGGTCGACCCCTCTCCCCTTGTTGCACTTGCCCGTGAGCGTGGATTGTTGATCATTACTGCTGCCAACAACACTGTCCGCTTTGTCCCTGCCTTGAACATTTCCAAGGCCGAGATTGACCAGGGTATCACTATCCTCAAGCAGGCCATTGGTGCCTTTGAGGACCGCGTCATGGACGTTGAGGCATAATCGCCTGGTTCCTCATTGGTATATATATCCAGACATCCCTTTCTCTATCCATAGAATCTCCATCGCCCATTCTCTTCTCCTGTAGACCAAAGCACCCTTCATAATAAAACATATGTACAAACAATCAAACAACTTGGTGGGTTGGTGGTCAAGCTTACATGTACGAAAGCTGTGCCCCTGGGTGGACGATTATAAGTCCCCTTAAGAAGTTTAACCGCGTCGGAGGACAGAAGCTAAACAGCGTATGGACCGTTGGCCATGGGTTGGATGACAACGAAAGATACGCATGGTCTTTTCTATGCTTTTCTCTAATCAAAAGCATATCCTAGCCTCCCTCGATCGCACAAGTATCTGTCTTCAAGCTGGTAGACTGAATGGCCGAATTGACCCCACTCTCTCTATTTCTCTCGATCGATGTTGCACTAATAAAAAATGCGATCGGTGCGGTTCAGTGGGCGAACACAAATTCATGCAATCCTATCTTAGTGTGGGCTTTGGCCCCTTCGATCCTTTTACTTTCAATGGCCAACTTCTCCAAGGGTGGCCGTTTGTTACTTTCTTCCCCTTTCTTTCTTTTCTACTCCCATTCCTTTTCTTCATTCACATTCATCCACCATCGACACACCTCTACTCATGTCGTCCATCTTTGAACTCTCCCCTCGCTGTCAGGACCTGCAAAAGCGCCTCGTAGATTTTGTCGAGGTAACAAGCATAGGGGTAGAAGTATGCGGTCGACTGCGTGTGAAAATAAATAAATAAAAGTGCGCTCTTCTAACTCGCGTCCTTCATACTTCTTTTTTTTTTTGTCATAGAACGACTGTCTGCCTGCTGAGGACATCTACGAAAGTCAAGTTGGGAAGGGCGACCAGCGCTGGAAGGTACAACATTCACAACCTCACACTTGACAAATGCAATCTCGCTGGCAGCTTTTTTTGTTTTTGTTCACACGTCATGTCTCTGACCCCTTTCTTGCGCCTCGTTCTTCATGAACATGATGTAGGTGGTACCCCCAATTATCGAGGAGCTGAAGGCAAAGGCGAGGTCATTAGGGCTCTGGAACTTGTTCTTGCACAAGGGGTATCCTGAGGGTCCTGGACTCACCAATCTCGAGTATGCGACCTTGTGCGAAATCACCGGACGATGCCCTCGAGTCGCGCCCGAGGTAAGCAAAAAAAATGTTGTATGCGTTTAAGAGAAGGACGCGGTGCTCAAAAATACTTTTAGTGTTTGTGTCTCTCCACAAACACACAAATGCGCATCAGGGCTTTGCTAATCATGTCAACAAACAAACATATTATTTTCTCTCCATTTGATGATAGGCGCTGAACTGCTCGGCACCAGATACAGGAAACATGGAGGTCTTTGCGAAATACGGCACCGCCGCCCAGAAACAAAAATACCTCGTCCCGCTTATGAACGGCGAAATCCGATCCGCCTTCGCCATGACCGAGATCGCAGTCTCCTCCTCGGACGCAACCAACATCGAGACCAGGATCGATCGTATCGGAGACCACTACATCATCAACGGACACAAGTGGTGGATCTCAGGGGCGGGTGATCCACGGTGCAAGGTTTTCTTGGTCATGGGAAAATCGGACCCCGGGAATGAGAGTGCGTATAAGCAACAGTCGATTGTTATTGTGGATGCTAAGACGCCCGGGGTGGAGGTTGTGAGGCCTATGACGGTATTTGGGTATGATGATGCACCGGAGGGGCACTGTGAGGTCAAGTTTGTGAACGTTAAGGTGCCGGTGTCGAACATTATTGCGGGTGAGGGGCGTGGGTTTGAGGTCATTCAAGGTCGTCTTGGACCCGGACGCATCCATCACTGGTAACTATTCTTTATTATCTCGGTGCTTCTTTCTTGCCCTTTGTTCCCAATTTCCACATTCATTCCCTAACGCTATGTTCGTCTTGCCTTCATATAATGGTAGCATGCGCGCAATTGGAATGGCAGAAAGGACGTTGGACCTGATGATTGCGCGTGTGACAGACCCCTCCCGCCGGACATTTGGACACATCCTAGCCCGTCATGGTACCATCGCTGCCGACGTTGCTAAGATCAGGATCGAAATCAACGCCGCCCGTCTGTTGGTCCTTTCGGCCGCTGACAAGATCGACAAGGTCAGTGCCAAGGGTGCCCTGCGCGACATTGCAATGGCCAAGGTCATGGTCCCAAACATGCTGCAAAAAGCTATTGATTTGGCTATTCAGGCGTTTGGTGCTGCTGGTGTCAGTCAGGATACTCCCTTGGCGCGGTTCCATGCTGCCGCTAGGTCCCTTCGTATTGCAGATGGTAAGCGTCCTCTTCTTCCTCATATATGGTTTTTTCTATGAGGGCTTGGTCGATATGGAATGTTGGTAGTCCACATGCCTTTATTAACGTGACCTTTTCCTTTTTTTTTACATGGTGTACATGTAGGCCCTGACGAGGTTCATATTCAGCAATTAGCGCGGTTTGAGCTGTTTAGAGGAGACGATATTCGTGAGAAGCAGGAGGCGACTAAAAGACGCCGTGCACAGATCCTTGCCAACAATTCTAAACTCTGAGATGTCTCGCGGTTCTTTTCTGTCTAGTACACATGCCGTGACAAGTCTCCATGCTCTTCCTTTCTTCTTTATGAGAACGAATGGATTATCAAATTTTTTTCTACGACGATTGGCAATAAAACATGCTAAGATAGACAATAAAACATGTTAAGATACTTCTGGCGATCCTTGGCTTGATTACCCACTCTGTAGATGATATCCAGGTGTGGAGAAAATGACATCCGTTCTCTTTTGTTTGAACAACAATTCTCTGTGGCAGATAGAAATGGCGCGCTTAGAACGGCCGCGCCAATGTGTGGACTTAGCTCTTTTATCCCATTATGAAACCAGGTCGACGGGAGGCGACGTCCTCTTTGCAAGACATGCTCGCCTCACGATTTTCCTTTTGTCTCTTCTGTGTCGTTGATTACGTTTTTGAGATATTGAACATGACGATGAATGGAAACGGTAGTTGAGTTATTTTCCACGTTATGTATATTGGACCCCTCTTCATCTTTCTGTTCCATGTCGATATCATATGTCTCCTCTTTGTTCATCAAAAAGAGAAATTGCTCTCGCTCCTCGATTGATAGGCGCTCGCATATTGATCGAGGGTAGTAGAGTTGGGCGAGTTCTGAGGGTAGCAGGGTTTTGTCGTTCTCTTCATTCTTGTTGAGACATCGATGCTGGAGTGTGGGGTACCAGAGAAAATCCTGACCGCACAGACTGCAGTTCGGCAGGCTGAAGTGACTCATCTGTGGACCAAAGTCTTGCTTGGCCAGGTTCTTCATCGCAAGACCCAAGTATGGCTTCTGTTGTTGAGCGGCCTTTTTCTGAGCGGCTTGAAGGGCTGCTTTTCTTGCAACAGTGCACTTGCCAGCATGAGGAGCGCTGCTCTTTACGGCCATATGAAGCGGCGCACCCTCTTTCACCTTCAGAAGAAAATCGGTAGACTTGGCGTTCAACAGGTTTGTACTGGGCAAGGAAGAGGGATCGATCGGCTTTGATGAGAGTGATACCCCTCGAAACTTTGTCCTCGATACGACCTTCAATCTGTGCGACCTGTCGTTGGCCCTAGGTTTTTCAATCATCCGTACAGTTCTCTAGTTTGACAGAGATGGTAAATAAATGCCAATGCCTTTGCGCATATTTTTCACCCTTTCTTTATCCCACATACATCAATTAGCATTAACTCATTGACTGCATATCGGATTTTCCATTCAATTGACATGTGCCTTCTTCGCGCCATCTGGAGGTGGATAAAAAGCGAGAACTGGCGATAGGCATTAACTTCCGTGGGATCGTGGGTGGGATGGCCTGGATCTCGTTCCGATGTACGAGGTAGCGCTAATTTGGGTTTGACGAGATAGGTTACTGGACGATACCAGCATATCCAAAGAACCTCTTTTTGTGCACAAACCAAATATCTTGTGAAATATCCATGTAGGACGATGTCATCCTCGTGTATGGGCAACTCTTTCGCTCCTTCATGTTATTCCTACAAATGAGACGATACAAGTTGCCTATGTTCTGAGCGCGCGGCGTTTTATATAGTTTCAGAAGGAGAATATCGAATGTCTCTTCTGAAGTGTGTTTCTGCTTTCGCCCATACAATATATATTTCTTCAAGAACTAGGATCCATAGGGATTTCGACTGGAGCTGGAGTTCGTTTATTTTCTTGTTTTTTTTTTTTCAGTTTCATGGTTCTCTTTTTTCTTGGAAACACATCACCATGATCCCGGATAGTCGTTCATGGTAACCACTGCGTTTGTTTTTGATTTGCATCGTTAAAGGACCTCGACGATTTAATCTCTCGGTTGTTGATTGCAGTTTTTGACTACAAAAAAAAATAGAAGATTGAATGCCTAATATATTTACGACACGCGATAGCTCATCTTCTTGTTGGCGGATTATTGACGTTGATAATATTGTTGGCCCTTTAAATAGTTTACGCGCTTGGGGGTGTACTTTTGTCTTTTTGTCTATGTGTCAACTCGTCCGATGCGTTCCGACATGGAGAACCTGTGCACAACCCAGTCGATATCAACTTGACGACGGTTGCCAACTTTTATTTTTAGTGTAAGTTTTTTCTCACACATGCTGGGATCGCGTCTCCTTTGCATCTACTTCCTCTTTTAATCATATGTATGTAATCTGAAATAAAAAGGAGGAGGATAGCCAAAACGGTGATAGTCTTGGCGTTTACAAGGCTTCATGAACATTTCTCACGGATCAAGAATGGCCCGAGATCCAGTTTACTATTGTACTCGCGTCGTCCAGCAGGGTTTCTTAGGTCGACTGCGTTGATGTTTTTCATGTCCAAGATTCGTGGAGTTGGAGGAGGATCATTTCTTCCGCTAGATGTTGACATTCGTCAACTTTTTTTTCGCGTTCATTTTTTTTTTGTGTACTATCAACGTGGTCAGTGGCGATAGGATCTCTGGAAGCGAGCATTATTTTTTCATCGCCATTTCCTAAAACTATACCCTTGGTGTATGCCCCCCTCTATATTCTTCGAAACGGTTTCGTTATCGATTACAATATTTTCCCTCACCTTACTGATCCTGCTGAATGAGATGTGTTTTTTGATTGGAAATAATTGTGGTCCTTTAAGTAAAGCTTTTAAGTTTCTCAAACAACTCTACGTTGCGTTGGTATTCCTTTTATCTTTATCCTTGGCGTCTTCACCGGATTTATCCATTGGTTTGGTATTGTTTGTACCTTTGGATTTTAGATGATGCTTACCTTTGGTGAGATACCCATACAGGATCACACCATTTGGGTCCCAATATGGGGGTGTTTTTGGATGTCGATGGAGGAATAGATGGAATCCGTATCGCAATAATACATCTTTCCACCAGCATCGATGAGATCTTGGATAAGTTCGTGGAGTCTAATCCTTGCATAGCTGGTAATAGCCGCAGATACGGAGACGTTTCACATCGGGTAACAAAACGTTAATCGTCTCATACGAGAGATACACATCTCCTTCCTTGCGGTATGATAACTTGCCAATATCCGCGAGAGAATCCAAATGGTTGAGCATATTTTCGCCGTATACTCAAAGAACATTGAGGTCATATAGGTCAAATCCGAAGTATCCGTATCCGGGATGGGCTGTAATCTTCACAGTGTTTTCCAAAGTTTGGTTTCCCATTTTTCCCCCGCCTCGATCTTAACCCTGATCATGTCCTCGAAGAACTCTGAACATATAGGGGCCATATTTTGGGTGTATCCTCGGGCTAATTTACAACGATACCCGAGTTCTAATCCGCGTAGAAGTTCGACAGAGAATACTTGTCCAATATTATAGTTCTAGAAGTTTAGGAACATGTATCTGTGTTTGTAGAATATATGGAGAAGTATTTTATCTTTCGGTGAAGAGAGTTACCTCTACCTCATAGAATCCAGGATTGTTCTCGAGGAATTTTCTAACCTCGTCACCTTTTATGTTTTCCAACCCATCTTTCAAAAGGGGTATTCCGTACGGTAGAAAGTTTCCACCCACAGCTGAGTAAACGATGTAAAATCGTATGGAGAAATAGGTATGTTGGTGAAACATCCTCTACAAAATATCTCGGTCCTTCCAACCACCGTATGCTCCGGCGATGAAGTCTCTTACTTTTCTCGGAAATACGTATAATGGATGTTTGTCAGGGTTGTAATATCGTGAATAAATGATCTTGTTCGCGAATGACAATGTTGATACGTGATGTAGTGGGTTGGTGCCAAATTTGGCCTGTGATGTCTCTTGATATTTTTCGAGGATCTCGTAAAAAGCTGCACAGTCTTTCTTGTTATACGCCAATATTTTCTTACAATGGATTGTATCATCTTATGAAGCCTTAAGGATGTCTATATCTTCATCCTTTTTGGTTACGCCCATACCTTTGGCGAGTTTTTCAAGGGATTCTAGGATAAACGCGTGCAGCGCGTAAGAATCTCGGAATATAATTGTGTGTCCATTTCTCAAGTGGGTCTTAACTTCGAGGAATATCCCTTTGAGATCTCTGAGTTTCACTGGATGATCCAGCGGCGTGTTCAAATATTTTGTTAATGGTTTTAAAAAGAATTGTTGTATCATATCAACAGGCCGAGTTTAGGTGCCTTTTTTTTGGAGTGTTTCAAAAAACACAAAGCTGCAGAGCGAATAGGCTTTTCAGATGAGCGGCTTCTTTTTCGACACGATTTATTGAAGTTTTCGATCAGCCGGTAGCAAGGTGGCCGCGGTTGGAGTATCGGAAGATGGGTGTCTATTTTAGTGCTTTTTTTTTCTTGTGTAAGTATCGTCTGGTTTGACTAGCTGTCAACATCTTCGATATTTATTGACATTAGGATGGCGTTGCCGGCGATGAACGAAAGGGATACTCCCATGGTAATTTTCAGATCACCGTTGAACAATGTGGAGAAGGGTCTCAATTGCAAGTTTTAAAAGGATTGTCTTCCAAAGGTAACGCGATATTTTGCAATTGCCGCATAATGGTTGAGGTACTGCAAATGTGCGTACTCAAACCCCATGGTAACGCCTCAACACCTTTGCAAAAATCTTCACAACGTACGCAACGTGCCTCCATTTGCCATCTTTTTGCACCATCACCCTCACGGCATATCCATTGTGGGGTTGAAGTATTCTTTTTCGAGAGCAACATCTTCGCAAATGACATGCTCTTCACGGCGTTGCATGCCAACAACATGACATCGATGGAGAAGTTCCTCCAATGTGCAAAATGGTACAAATCCACTACTCCTTCCTCCATTTTCGTAGGCGCATCCATCACTCTCCTCAAGTATACTTTTGCCATTTCGTCCAATGTGTCATAGTGGTCTTTCGCGATGTACTGTAAACGTTTGTTGCTACTTGTCAACCTTTGCCGGTGCTTCGTTAATTCGTTACATCACCATACAAATGGAAAAAATTGGCCATCGATCGACGTCGCAGAGCTGGTGGGCGTGTCGGTACAAGTACGCGGTTGAGTGGAAGTGTAGGACATGGTGGTGTAGACGTACGCATTGTTGACAAATGGGTTGTGGACGTCTCGCTCATCCTTCATCAACGCATCAAAATCCTTCGACAACTTTTCCAACGTGTGCTATTCCATTGTCAACGCGTCCGATGTGCGCAACCTCGTCGATAAGAGGTCCATATTCGTTGACGCCGACTTCAACACATCCAACATTGGGCCGGAATACTTTTCGCAGCATTTTCCCATCCGTTTGCTTGTCCATTCTCGCCAATGCTTCTTGGAATGTACGAATCGTTCCATCTAACACCGTTTCGCACTGCCGCCACCTCTTGCAGTGCATCTAACGTTGGTGGTGCGTACTCTTGTGCATCATCCTCGTGGGTTTACGATTCTTTTTCCAATCTCTCGATCTCTTCTAGAAAAATTTTGGCTCTTGGCAGTTCATGCAGTGTGAACAAACTAAGAAAAAAGAAGAGCCTATACACGACAATAACATGGTGTTCTTGGTTTTGTATTTTTTCTGTTATACACTGAAGGATTTCGTCAAAATGAGAGTTGTTAGACTTTCTTTATTATCCGCTGTTGAGGATGAGCATCTGACGATATCGTACCGTAGGCTTTTCATATTGATGTTATTATTTTATTGTTTTGTCGGGGGTACACCAAATCGTCATCACTCTTTCCTTTATGTTTTCAATAAAGAAGAGTAGAATTGAAATGAATAAAAAAAAATTGTATTGAAAACCTGCTACGATGCGAATGGTGTTCTGACCTCCTACTTTTTCCCGGGATGTAAGGTTGCTAGTCGAGGATTGTGTATTCAACTTTTATCATAATGGACACCTAGCGATATGGTTTGGGGTTTGACTGGTCTCATTCATTTCCGTTTCGTTCTTTCTTTTCCTCATGACCAAGCAAACCCCGATGATGTTTTTTCGTTCAGCGCTCATCTGTTCTTTTCAAGTTATTTATTTATCCGTTACTACTATTTTTTATTTTCACACGACAATAGAAACAAAAAGTTCAGAACAACAAGATGGGGTATTGACCTGACTTCTGACTTTTTTTTTCGTGTCGGTCGCAAATGGGTGGATGCATGGAGTTTGGGTCATGAAGGCCATGAGAAAACATAACCAAAAGAACAAAAGAAAATAATGGCTCAAGTAGGGTGCGAAAAAGGATGAGTGGCTTAACCTCGCGCATGACTTGATGGGTGATGGAGAGTGTGGAGCCATGAGACCATTGCCGAAAAGAAGAATTGTTCCCAAACCTTCCACATGCCGGATGAATAAGTCCACATGTTTGTTTTAAAGCTGATGAAAAAAAAATTGTCGCAACGCGTTTTTCGATCACTACGACGCGTTGGATCAAGAAAAAAATTCGCGTTTGAATAAGCCAGAGAAGGAAGTAATTGGTCAGTAGCGAACGGTTGTTCTCGCCTTTGCCTTCAGCTAGTGTTGAACACATACAAATGGCCCTACTTCCTGCAATGAGCCTGAAGAAATAAGACAGAAAAAAGGCTTGTAGGACGACAATTTGGATGCAAGGGAGAAAATAAAAGATCCCGCTCCAAGTTATCATTCTCATTCTTTCTTTTCTTCTCACGTCCACCGTCCTTCACCCACTCGTCCCGTCTTCTTTCTTACACCCCTCCAACTCCATGAATCGTGTATAAGAAAAGCGTTCAACTCGACCGATCTAAGCAACCCTGCTATACGAGGCGAGTACAGTGGTAAAATGAATCTCATATCAATCGTCTACATCGTTATCCTCTCTCGTCATCTTGTTTCAGTTGCGCTTCATCCCTTGATACTCTGAAGAAGATATCAAGGCTCGTGTCCTTCTACCTTTCTTCTTTTTTGTCTTTTCCTTTATCCTCTATCCTTTCTTTCGACGCAATCCATGTAGTACTTGACTTTTCTCTTTAAGCAAGAAAGCAATAAAAGCAAAGAAAGATAGTGAATGTGTGCAGCCTGCCGTTTGTGCTTGTGTTTGTTTGATATGTAATGGTTTATTTTGAGAAAACAAAGAAAAAAAAATAGAGCAATGAAGGGTATGCAAAATGAAAGAACAGAAAAAAAGACCCAAGACAAATGGCCCCCTCCTCCCACTCCTTATGCAGATAATGAAGCAGCAGCGACCGCCTTGACAGGCGCAGAAAGAGCAGGCGTAGTATCCTTGACAATGAAATTGCCCTGGTTATCCTTGGCCAAGATCGCCTTCCACTGATCCGTCATGACCTCGTTCTTCTTGTGGGTATTATCCTCCGTCAACTCGATAGCGGCAACAGCCATCATCGTCAAGACCGTAAAACCTTGGGCATACATACGGGCGGTGACGATCCTTTGGGTGGTGGTGAGGCCCTTCCTGGAGAAGGTGTAGAGGAGCGAGCCACCCATGCAAGTGAGCCAGGAGACGGCGACGACTGTATTCCTGTTCTCGCGGACCTGGTAGTTCATCTCAGCTAAGACACCGCGCTGGGCACGGATCTCGGCGCGGGCGGCGTGGGCGGCTTCTTGGTCCAAGTGGCGAAGGAGCTGGCGGTCTTCGTACTGGACTCGGGCGTGGTCTCCGAACAGGATTGCCGTTGCAGCGGTACCTAAAATTTAGTTGGAGATAGGGGGAAGAGGGAGAGCAAGGTTAGGATGAGTCTGGCTTTTGAGATATGTGTGAGTAATGTATGTTACAGAGAGAAAGAGGAAGAGAGGCTTACCAGTGCCGAGAAGGAACTGTTTAAGGCGGGGGGAGATGGTCTGGTAGGTCTTTGAGTAGCGGGCTCCGGACATGGCGATGAGGCCTCCGGCGACGAGGGCAAGACCGGCACCCTTGGCGGCAGCCATGGCAACCAACTGATCTTTGTCCTCATTGTCCTTGAGGTGGGGGCTCTTGAACTCTTGGATAGTAGTCATTGTCGTTGTGGGAGTTATTTGTTGGAGGGAAAGGTATTATGTGTGGGTTGGATATGCTGAGTGTGTGTTGAGTTGAGAATCGTGAGAATAAGAGTGGGTGTGCGTACGAGATATCCTTGGGCGTAAAAAATGGATGTCCTGGGGGTAGGTATATATGGTTGTTGAGTGAAGATGATGTTTGTTGTGTTCGGAGCGGGGTGTGAGGAAGGAGCCCCCTTTTATAAGAAATAGGCAACTGCGAAGCAGGATTGGGATGTGAGCCAATGCCGATGAGACAATTACCACTGATATGGGGTTGGAAAGGCGATCGTGTGTTGAATTTGAATTTTTTGTCTGTTGGTCGGGACCATCGGGGGGTGGCGTCGTTTCTTTATTTGCACTTCCCGTGTGTGTGAATAATGTCTCTGTGACTATGATGTATGTGTGCACTGGTCAAGGAACACCATTGTGTCCCCTCTTCTGAGCCTTCTCTTCCCTCTTTATTTTTTGCAGTCCCCTTCGGAATTGAACAATCAATTACGATACGGGAGAGGAGCACGGAGGAAAATGGAGCGTTAGGAAGGGATTACATTGGCTGTGTTTCTTTTTCCACCATCACGGTGATACCATATATGGACACATCACTTCCCTCACCCTCTCACTCCCTTTCCCTCGCTTCCAACGTGGCGCTGACCTTTATTTCTTTCATAGTTGATCTTTTCCGAAGAGAAAGAAGAGACATCATTCATGGGCTAATCACCTCCGTCGGTTATCACTCAAACAGCAATCACCAACCCTCGCATCCAGGATGGAGCCGGAGCATATCCCTTTTCCTTTTCCTTTTCCTTTTCTTATTCGTTCTCCAGAAAACAAACAGAACTTCTCATTTTCCGTTCTTCCCTTCTTCCCTTCTTCCCATTCATTGTTCATGAAAAATGCCTCATACGCACACACTCCTCTCCTTCATTTGATTCTCCCTTTTCAGCCTGAATCCAATGACTTGGTACACCCGTTGCCTTGGCTTTACTCGGCTTATGCTCACCTTCATGATGCGGTGCTTACCCCTCTTTGTCTTTCTTCTCCACTTTCAGGGGAGAATTCAATCTTGCGTGACCAAATGAAATGATACCCTCTCCCTTTCATTTGCTCTTTATCTCGCCCGATTCTTATCTCACACCCTCTTTTCCTCAACTCAATCGAACCTCCTCCCGTCAATTGCCTTGGCAATTGAACACAAGCAAGAAAACTGTCCATGCAAAGAGACACAGACACAACAAGCAGGACAAACAGGCGTGCTCACTGAACACAACACAAACCCCTCACAACAAGCATCGACATCATCTTCGTCATCCATCCCTAGAGCCTTTCCCGCTTCGTTCTTGTCATCCTCGGTCTACTGATATGCCAACGAGAGGAAACGAACGCCAGAAATATATAAGGGTGTCGATTTACTGTATTTATCTTTCCCCCCTCCCACAACACCTATAGAAAGATCCTACAGTGTCCTCCTACCCTCCTACCCCGCAACCCAGACCCTGCCTGTCATTCACTCACATCGAGAATATGGTTCCATTAAACAACATATGTGAGAAAAGGGGCTTCCTCTTCACATGCTGGCAGAAAAATAAAAAATTCGATCGCCAAGGTCACTTTATCCAACCAACTCTCCGCTTCCTGTCTACACTGCACACGCAACCACATACCTCTCTTTTCTGTTCTTTTCTTTCAACGGCTGGCCTCCTCTGCTCCTCTTTTCTCTCCTCTTTCTTCATTCATTCCTGAATCCTTCTCCACTCTCACCCTCACCCACCCGACGACCAAAGGAATGACCTACGAGTTACCCCCCATCGGACACGCCCTCAGCGGAGGCGTCGCAGCCGCCCTGGCTAACGTCGTCATCTACCCTCTCGACATGGCCACCACCCGCGTCCAGTCCCAGTCCACCAAAAACTCTTCCACCTCCTCCCTCACCTCCGGTCACCACACCTCGGAGGAACTGCAGCCTATCGAGTTCAAGCGCCCCACCCTCCCCGGTGCTACTTCTTCCTCGTCAGAGACAACCTCTTCCGTTTCCCTGGGAGAAGACGGCCGCAAGAAAACTACCCGTACAATCATCACCACCACTACAACCACCACCCGTGTCCTCTCTTCTTCTGCCACACCCAAGAAGCGAGTCCACTACACATCAGTCCCAGACGCCATCCGCAAGATCTACGCTTCCGAGGGCTTCTCAGCCCTCTATTCTGGTCTCGGATCCGACACTATCGCGACCCTGACCTCGAACTTTGTCTACTTTTATGTCTACATGGCTTTGAGGCAGAGGAAGGAGCATAGTAGGTCTTCGGGGCAGTTGTCGACGTTCCAGGAGTTGTTCCTCGGTGCTGAGGCGGGTGTTATTTCGAGGTTTTTCACGGCGCCAATCCATGTTGTCACGACGAGGCAGCAGGTCGTGGGCAAAGATCAATTGCAGCAGCAGCAGCAGCCACAAGGAACCCCAGGAACGACAGGAAAAGCGCAGAAGGTTTCGGCTCGGTCGATCATCCGCGAGATCTATGCACAGGACGGGATCACAGGATTCTGGGCCGGATACGCGCCCACGGTGATCTTATCCATCAACCCCTCGATCACCTACTTTCTCTTTGAGACCATCAAGAAGTCCATCCTTGCTCGCCAACTCCAGGCCGCTCATTCCGGCTCTTCTTCCCCCGCAAAGTCAGTCCTGGCCGCCGCCGCGTCATTGACTTCGCTCCAAATCTTCTTTATCTCGGCCTGCTCAAAGGCTATTGCCTCCTTCCTCACCTACCCCCTCATCCTCACAAAGACCAAACTCCAAACCAAGGTTCAAGATAACGACACTACAACCAACCTCGGCGATGTAGAAAAGCAGGACGACCAACCAAAGAGCTTCAACGGGATCGCGGATGTATTCAAGACCGTCATCAAGGATAAGGGAATCGCAGGATTGTACACCGGTTGCCAGGGCCAAGTCGTCAAGGGGTTCTTCTCATTCGGATTGATGTACATGATCAAGGACCGCGTCGTTGCCTGGATGTTGACGCTTTTCTTGGCCATTCATAAAATGCGCAACCGTGTCACTTCCTCTTAGATATTCATTTTCATCTCGCTTTGTTATTACAGAGTTTTTAATGATCGGATCGATAATTAAAGTACGCACGCATGTCTTGGGTTTCTTCTTCAATGCAAAAGTCCACACAACAAACCAACAGACGGAAAGGACAATGGACACCATGTCGTAAAAAAAACAGGCATTGGTTTTTACAACCATGATAATAAAAAGAAGACTAGTTTCTCTATCAGGGAAGGAGTGCTTCGCCCAAAGCAACAGCATTAACACCAGTAGTAGTAGACGACCCTGTTTCACTATCGCCTGCATCAACAACTGCAACATCTTTCGACCTCAATTCCTCCTGACTTGACGAGACTCCCAAGGGATCATCCACCACCACTGTCGAGGCCTCAGTAGCCCCAATGACAGGCGAGGAAGGCACAGAGACCTCAGAAAAAGGCGAATACGACTCCCCACCAGGCGTCACACTCCGTTCAGGAGTCGGTGTCAACAACGCCGTCAATCCCGGTTGTGCAGCCGCCACAGCCGACAATCGTGAAGCCGAAGGCGAAGCCAAGGGGGGAGTCGGAACAATGTTATCAAGAGTCTCTAAGGCCTCCAAGAGCTCCTTTTCGATCTCTTGTTGGCTTTCCTGATCGACATCCTTGACGAGTCCACCCCCACCGATTGACGACATGACTTCTCCGCCTCGGCTCAGTCTAGGTGATACAACAGTGGATGGCGTAGCTGGTACAGGTACAGGTGACACAATCGGCACGGGCTTTGTCGATTCATCAGCCACATTGGTTGATTTTCTCGTTGTTGCTGCTGTTGAGGCGTCGGCTTGCTCAGGAGACCCTGTTGCCATCCCAGTAAAGCTTAGAGGTGACCGCGCACCCTTGGGCGAAGTAGGAGACCTGGGCGATGCCTGTGACCGTGTCGGTGAACGAGGGGTCACAAACGAAAACAGCCCCGGCTCACTCTGCTGCTGCTGCTGTGACACCGCTAAATCGGGTCCAGATCCAGATCCAGATCCAGGGTTTGCCTTAGCTGCTCCCACCACAGGTTTAGGAGAGATCGCAAAAGTGGACGCAGTTGCACGGGCTCGTTCCTGCATAATCTTCTTCTTGCGCTCATGCTGATGCACCCGCTGCTGATACTGCTCCTCCGCCTCCCGCTGTGCATCCAAAAGCTCCTTCTTCTTGGTCTGGAAGAAACTCGACACGTTCGAAAACATCCCGGCCGCCTTCTGTCCCAAAGCCGCCGTTGCCGCAGTGGCTGGTCCTAAACTTGAAGCGACTGACGGGACGGGTGATGCTGCCGCCGAACTTGTCCGTGATGCGGGCTGTTGTTGCATAGATGTACGCCGTGATGAGGATTTGTATGATACTGGTGGTGAAATGGCGTCGTTGGAGTCGTCGTCTGGGGTAGCATCTGGATCGGGAATGGATCGAGCTGTAGGTTCCCGACGCCGATTTGTAGACGTGCTCCTGACAAGTCCCTTACCCTCTGCCAGTGAGGGTTCTCTTGACCGAGGGCGATAGATTCCTGGCTCTAGTGACGCGGGTTGAGGCCCTTCCTCCGGCTGCAACTTTTCAAACTCCTGCCACACCGAATCTGTTTAAATTGTTAACAGTAATTGTCGACAGTTAGTCATCATGCATGCTACAAGAATAGATTTGTCCAATACTGCAGACTTTTGAATCCGGTATGCGCTAACAATAACCTACCAAAAACGTTAGAGATCCGCTCGCGGCTCGTTGTCATGGCTCTTGAGAAGGACTGCTTCAATGGAACCAAGTTCTTGTCTATCCTCATGTCTTTCAATTGGCTAATAAATACAATACAAGGCGGACAAAATATTAGTCCATCGTCTCCACTACCATAAATAATACCTCCACCTTGTCCATGAAATAGGAATCTTACTTCGCGAGGCGTCGTTGGACATGAGCGAGAGAAAAGTTGCCTTGGCAGGGGTGTCCTGGGGCCACAATCTCGTTCAGCAGCTCCCAATCCACATAGTCATTCCAGAGTTGGTAGTTAGGTGTCTGCTGCCATGCCCTGATGAAGTACGTTCCATAGTCCGCCGTCATGTCCCGGTCTGTAAAAGCAAATGAATGGTATATTGATGTTAAAAATTAGCATCCATCCTTTCAATCGCACTGTACACCAAACATACATAGAAACAGTTCTTATCACTTACCACTGGGATTGCCCATGCCTTCGGTAGAATCCTCGGTCTGGGTGACTTTTTGGGCATGCTTGACGCTCGATAAAAGTGTCAAGATGTACTCTTCAAATTTTGCGCGCAGATAATCGTCACTTCCCGCATACTCCGTCTGAGAATCTGTGCTCTCACTTTCGTTAACAGCCTGAATAACTTCGTCCATCCACCTCCGGTCGGCTGATGTCAGGCTAAGGATCCCAGAGAGGGAGTCTTGCAGAAATTCGATAGTTCCTGGCTCAGTGTTGACAATGACATCCGTACCGCAGTCGCGGTTGTGTAAGAAAATGGCGTTGGTGGTTCCGATAATGTAACTCCTAGTGCGAGGGTCCTGCAAGATGTCGATCTGTTGGAGAGGCAGATATGGCTGAAAGAATGAGCCCTCGCCAAAAATGTGAAGCGGCAGCCCCAGGTATTTGAAGAGTTCTTGCTTGTCAGTCGAGTGGGCTGGCGTCTTTGACATGCTGCGCATGTAGTCTTCCTGAGAGTCCAGCAAGGGCGATCCGGTATCCTGAAGTGACTTTAGCAATCCCGGCACCAACGACATGAGGGAGTACTGGTAGGTGCACAAGGTTTCCACTGGGTATCCAAAGAAAATAACCTATACATCAAAATAATGAAGACGATGCCGGATTAGAAATCCATTGCCGGATCCACATGAACCCAGCATTGAAACTTCAACCTCACGGCAAGACCTACCCTCTTCTCGAGAAGCAGTAGCTTTAAGAGGACCAAGACCTTGTACTTGAACTTTTTAACTAGCTCCCGCAACGATGTGCCTATTGGAAGAAATTCGTTCAGTATTAGCATTCCTTTCCAGAGCAATCGAACTAGTGCCCATTCATCATCCAGTCAAGAAAACTGATAGTGTCGACTCACCCATCAAAAAAGCAGAGTCTGGTATGCTCTCTGACACCGTTGCGTTCAGGCTGTCATAGAATTGCTACGGCAAGCGTGAGAAAACAAAAGAGCAAAGTCGTGGGTTAGGTGCCTGCCTGTTGCTCCCTTGTTCCTGAAGAACAGCTACGTCAAAAATCCGAGAAGAATTCGCCCTCTGTCCTTTGCACTCTTGTTCCTGAACAATCGAATATGCCAAGAATCCGATAATCATGTCCTGTGTCGACTTACTGCAAGAATCTCTGTCTGAGTAAAGTCCTTTTGGCCAAACCAGGCGGCAGTGACTACCGCCAATCGCTGTCGAAGGACTCCAAAAATGGGCTACAAAAGGAGGGTCACGAATTGAAAGAAAAAAGCACACATGATGAGTTACACAATGATCACTGTTGCTTTTCCCTTTGATTGTGCATATTCTTTGTGAGCTGCAGGTTCACGTTTAGATGAAAAGTAATAATACCTGAGTAGCAAGGACGACGATGGCCTTTTGGACAGAGCTGCGGGTGACATCATCTGTCTTGACCACAAGATCCTTTGTCAAGATTTGGCGATTGCAAGAGATGCCAAAGAGGGTTGAGGCAACATCCTTCCTGCTCTTGACGGGTGGCAGGTGGAAGTATGTAAAGTCTTCATCGCTTTGATGACTACCGTCTGTAATTTATCCAATTTGAATCAATCCCATGCAGTCCATGCGTTCCAGGGGGCGAAGGATGAAGAAAGGAAAGAGGTAAAAGAGGGGGGGGTAAGGAAATAAATAGCAGAATAAGGTGAGTTGCGTAGCACTTTGTGTTAACGTTCTTGGCAATCGAACATGTGTACAACTTGCTAGCGAAGAACGAAGAGAAGGAGTACCTGGGAGGGCCAAGAAGGGCAAAAGACTCCATTCCTCAGGCACTTCTAGTCGAGTCAAGCAAGTCTGTTCAGCCTGGCCAGGGAATGGCGGGTAAGCGTACTCGACAATGGGGCCATGCGCGTGGTGACTACATGATGTTTGAAGGACAAGGTACGAATGTCAGTGCGGTGAATGAAGTATGTATGCGGCATGGCATGGCATGGCATGGATGAAGCGAACTGTGCCAAGGGTTGAGTCGGAATGAGGCGCGGGAACACAAAGAAGAGCAGGACGTACAAGCCGACGACAATGATGTGAAGGATCACACCCATCTGTGCAGTGACGAGTAGCGATGAGTTGTGAAAGAAGAAGAAGGGGAAGGTGGGTAGTTTATTGGCTGTGGAGGGGAGAGTGGCGGCGGCGATAGTAGACAATTAAAAGGTAGAAAGGGAAGAAAAGGGTGCAATACAATAAATACATACCTATCCACCTGTGGTGGACACAAATAGCTCGAAATGAACGGGGTTCGTGCTCTCATTGGCTGAGGGTGCCACCCAACTCCACGTCCACTGTCCCTCGACACGAATTTCTTCCTCCTCTCTCCTTCAATCACCTTCTCGCTCTGAATCGCCACCAAACATCTCACACGTCCCCAATTGCAACAACAACGACGAAAGACCAAAGGAAGCAGGATCAGGATCACGATCACAGCCATGTTCTTAGCCCAGGCAGCAAGAACTAACACCCACAGTCGCATGGCCCTCATCTCCAGCGTCAGATCCGCATTCCGCGTCGTAGGATCACCACGATCACTAACCCTCACCAGACTGCGGACGACCCCTCAACCTCAGCCCCATTTCACACAAACTCGCCCTTTTCTCTCATGGCTACTCAACCCGAAGGAAGAACCCGTGATCCCCAAGAAGCTGACCCCATTGAAGCTCGAGGACACCGGCAACCGTCTACTCTTCTGGGACTCAACTTATACCACCCCGCACATGAAACCCGAGTTCAATGGTAACATTGCCCACCGACTGCGTTATTTCAGGAGAAAACAGCGAGCAAAGGAAGAGAGCAATTGAACGACAGACTTACCCTCTCTCCTTTATTTTCTTGTTTTACTACTGTCATGGTACAGACCGCAACGTTTCATCTCTTAGTACAGGAGTAAGTTGACAGGACATGAGAGGAGCTATGACAGTAACGGAGACGACGCGATTTTGAAATGCGCAGGAATCTAATGGATATTTTAACCACTCTCGAATCGATAGACTTCGCACAGCTGCGCCGTTGTCGACGGAAACCTTCATGTCTGGGGATCCAACTACTACAGTCAGGTACACTTAGGACGGCATTGATGTCTTGCGTGTCTCGTTCAGGATCTTTAAACCTATACGCGGACATTTCAACTTACAAATTTTTTTCATCATTCCGTCCCATTATAGGTTGGACTGACAACAGAGTCCTTTCATGATGACGACTCGGAGGAGATCACGGATGTGCACTTTGTCAACCAGCTGGCGAACGAAGAGATTGTTCAAGTCGCATCAGGTACACATAACCGCATCCAATCTTTCTTGCGGAACAAATTATCGAGCGAACGCCGCCCTTCTTGGAAACTAAATACATATCGCTCACCCACACCACCCATATTGTTTAGGCAACTTTCATAACTTGGCGCTATCAAAGACGGGAAAACTGTGGTCATGGGGCTCGGGTTGTCTTGGACGAGGGGATGAGATCTACGATTCGCTTCCTCAACCCGTCGAGTTCTTCCATGCCCTTGGACGGAATATTAAACAGATCTTTGCAGCAGGGTAGGAACTCCGTTTCGGTTGGTGTACGATGTGATGTTAGTGGCACGGATCATCACATATTATTTACACCTTGCAAATTTTCTTTGTTTAGGAACTACTCGATGGCGCTGGTGACACCAAAGGACGGACACGACGATGAACTCTATATCTGGGGCTACATTCCATTTGGCGAAGAGAATGAGCATGGAGAGGTTAATCCTTTTATGAGAAAATGCCTCCGCCCTGTCCTCGTCACCTCTGTGCTCGGTTACCATATCTCTCATGTTGCCTGTAGTCCTTGGCATTTCACCCTTGCGGCCACGCCTGTACCGACCTCTACTTCGACTTCAACGGATCAATCGACAACTACCAACGAGAAGCCATTGTTGATGACATTTGGACGGTACAGTGACGAGATGTCACTCGAGAAACCTTATAGTCCTTTGTTCTTGGACCTGCCGCCTGAGGATGAGTTTTATGACGTCAAACCATGGAGGATATTTCGGTCCGTCGCTCCTACCTCCGACCTCGTCATCAAGAAAATGGCCGCCTCTAAAGGTATAAATATATTAAAATATATTTACATTGTTTTCTCTACACCCACTTCTTCGTATCCGAATACTAACCTCAATCTAAACTCCCGTGTATGTAATAGGATGCGACATTGTGTTGATGGAAAACGGAAGTGTAGGGGTCAGCGACCACGAGGACCACGTTGCACGACTGATCCACCGGCCATTGGACGACAAGATTCTCGATGTTGCCGGAGGTTCTTCAGAAGTGATTGCCATCTCGACTAAGGGACAGGTCCTCTCCTGGAGTGAACCTTCAGAAGGTGCCGAGGAGGATGAACCTGCTGTTGCTGTTGAGGACCCCCTCACAGTAGAACTCGCAAACGCCGAGATTGAGAATGTCAGGAGGAACACAAAGATTGGCAGTGGCTCAAAACAGCAGCAGCAACCATCTCCACTCAAATCATCATCACAACTGCCACCACAACCACTCAAGAGTGCCGGACTATCAGCACTGCACCCGCTTTTGGACTTTAACAAGGACGAACAAAAGGCCGAGACCGAAGTGTTGGCCTTCTTTGATTCCCAGCGTCGTGGACAGGAGCAGAAACAAAAGACGGTCCGTTTGGTTGAAGCTCTCTTTGATCCGTCGAGGTTGGTTGTTGAGAAGCCGGGCCTTTCTAAATGTGTTGCTCAGTATGATCGCTTCACTATCTGTTGAGTCAATGGAGAGAATAAAAAACGAAATGTATCTGTGCGTTATCGTCGTCTTAAAATGCTCTTTGCGACCCTGGACCTTTGGATCCTTCATCTTTTGAGACTCTGCATAGCTTTCAGTTGTAGCACGACGTTTTTGCTCCATCACGAAAATTTGGAGGTTCTAAAGACCCCTCTTACTCATTGACCCACCTCTGTGTTCACTCACTTGGTTTTTTCACACCGTTTTAAACGGTATGATACAAGTGCACCCAGCACGTTTTTATTGCAAAAAAAAACTAATGAATAATACAACTGATGGTGACAGTGTGAACGGTCGTCGAAAGAAGGGGATGAAAAGAAAGAGAGTAAAGAAACTTAAAGGAGCAAAAGAGCAGCGGCAGTGACAACAACGGCCGACACACAAGGAGCAACCAACGATCCAGCAGCACCGTTATCCTTGTGCTTCTCAGTCTGTTTATCACCCGCCACGATCTGTCCTCCATTACCAGCACCAGCCTGTGCCTGAATCTTGAACTTTCCCAAGTAAATCGGCCTCTTCAACATAATCCTCAATGAATACTTCGCATTATGATTTTGCACCTCCGGAACAACCCAATACTCATTCCCCCTCTCCCTGCTCCCACAATCGATATGCGCGGCCGTCGCAACAAAGAAGGCGTTGTCGGGATTGTTGGCATTGACGAATTGGACTTCGACGGCGCGGGAGGAACCCGTCGAGACGGCGGCGGAGGACTTCTTGCAGGCCATTGTCCAGGAGAAGGTTGCGTTGTGGCCGGTGTTGTAAACTTCAGAGCCGTCGACGGGGTCGGTGAAGGCGGTGTGTTTGGGCATCTGTTGGGCGACTGAGGTGGTGGCGAGGATGGCCAGGAGGGTGATTGTTGATGTCTTGATGAACATTTTCGGCGGTTGTTGTTGTTGGTAGTGGCGAAGTGTGTGAAAACGAGGAAGGAGAAAAAAGAAGAAAAGAGAAAGAGAAGGCGGGTGAACAGCTTTTCATATCAGTAGAGCCTCCTCTCTATGAGAACATTTTTTCTATCTGAGGTAAGGCTGATGAAGAAACGAGAGAGAAGGATCATGTCATTTCTCAAGTGCCCAGTTGTCTTATCTCACACATCCCGTCTGGCTCCCAATAAAGGGTCAACTCTCGTAAGCCTCCCTCAGTCAGACAACAAGCCAGTTTCTGGGTTGCACAAGAAGTGAAGGGATAGTAGGAGATTCAAACAACGTTACACAGGGGGAGGAGGGATAATTCATCAACAGATATTAGATTACCGAGAGTAGTAAGAGGATGAGTCCTGGTCAATCGAACTCTGGAGTACTGTATTGGCTCCAAAGAACCAGCTCTCACAAGAGCCAGGAATGATCGTCATGTTATTTTTGCCACCAAAAATGAATAATCATTGGCCGTTCATTACCCTTGGGAAAATTGAATCAGGAGGAATGAAAAACAAATGCAGTGAGATTCGAAGGAAACTCAGGCTCATCGGAGCATCAGCAACAGCCCGCTATCGCTGTACTCTTACTTGACTAACGTCTTGTCCACTCACCCGCAAACACAATTCTTCATTCTCCTCACTCCTAATACAAGTCGTTGATGGAGAGAAACAAAGAAAAAGGAAACCCCGATCGGACTCCAGACAAGAAAAAATAGAAGGATCCTAGATAATCAGTCGGGCGGGGCCTTGACTGGTGTCTGACTTTGAGTGGACAGCACACACACAGTATTTAGCTGTTGATGTTTTTGGGCACGGCTCACTGCTACCCACACCGTCTTGTCTAGTCAGCCATAATGCTGAAATGAGGCGGGAAAGGACATATTCCACAGTGCAGACCACGGACTAAGTCCTTCGCATCGCCTGACGTGGAAAGAGCAATCCAAAGGTTAGGCAAGCAGCGGAAGGCGGCACGCGCACGCCTAGTTGCCAGAGATCGACTTTGCATTCTATTATGTCCCCCTTTCTCTGAAGAATGGCATCACGTTTCGACACTTGCTCGTTTACCTCTTTTTTCGTTTTTACCTTCGTTTTTGCCTTTGTTTTTCAACCATCGTGTGATGCCAATATATCACCTCCATCTCTTGATGGAGTACGAGCAACACTCTTGGGTCGTTTTAGAGTCAAGGATATGGATATATCACCCGTAATGTCCCTTGTCATATGGAGAATCCTTTGGTCCATGACTTAAATTTTCTCCCCGTCGTGATCATTGACTATTGTGCCTTTCAACCAAAATGAGTAAAAAAAATTAACCACTAATCCAGTTGCGAACGGGGTTTGCATGGACGTGGAACAAAAATGTTGTTCTGAATAGCTGGCTAATTGAGGTTTAGTGGCCAAAACAAACATTTTATGTGAAATGCACAATAAAAATATTGTACCGCTGGATCGAATCGGTCGAGAACAATGAGAACAATCAGCTACGAATAAGGTTACCATATGCGACTGATAGACAGGAAGAGGACGCGTTTGATTGACAGGACGTGTTTGAGACAAGGGACATATCCGTCACGCGAGTCATCATGGAAGAAGGCATCTTCACCAACCAACCAACGCCCACAAACAAGACCAACCCATTCCCACCACCTGCAACGAGTTCAGAACAAGGAAGAGAGAGAAGAAACGAACCAAGAGACGAGTGAAGGAGTACCAATGAGGAGAATGAGGAACGGATACTAGAGAACATGTCATTTAATAAAGAAAATGTATGAGCGAGGAAAATGATCATGGTTTGAAATCCGTAATGTTGTCAGACACAAAGAGAAAGACAAAACCTCCAATCGACCCTGAATTGATCGATCCCTTTCCATTTTCGTTCCGCCGATTTTTCTAATTCGTAGGATCTCATTAGTAAATCGTACGAATTCCATTTTCACCGTTTTTGAATTGAAGTGTTTTTTTTTTTGGTTTTTTAAGAAGTTTATTGCGTCGTGGGACTACGAGCTGCATAAAACTAATACTCGTCAGCTTCGAGTCACCGCCAAATCAAAAGATGTAAAAATAAAATACTTTCCAAGAAAGCACACAAACTACATCTAAACTGGGAAAAACAGATAAACAGAGAACCGGAAAAAGGCAGGGCAAATAAAATACAGAGAAAATAGAGTACAAATGTTAGGTAGGATGGTTGGTGTCGGTCGGGGGCGGCTCGGCCGGGGGAGGGGGTTGGCGTTCCTCGCTCTGGCGCTTCTTCTCTACCAGCTGAGCACGGGCTTGGGTGATCGCCAGGTCTACAGCAACAAGGACGATGCGGGGATTTTTGAATTGAAGTGTATTGCATCAAAATATTTTTCGGTTACATGATCTGCCGTTGCGCTCCATCCGGAAAAAGAGGATGGAACAGCGGGTGTCGCGACTTCCAGAAAGGAGGCTGATAGGCGCAACCATGCTACGGAGGAAGTCACCGAGGAAGCTGCCGAGGAAGCTGCCGAAGGGGGCCCTGAGGGAGGCCTGAGGGAGGCCTGAGGGAGTTGAAGATTACGGACTCGAGGATCTTTTTCGATCAGAGCGCAACGGCAGATCATGTGACCTAAAAATATTTTGATTCAATACACTTCAATTCAAAAACGGTGAAAATGGAATTCGTACGATTTACTAATGAGATCGTACGAATTAAAAAAAAATCGGCTTCTTTTTCTTTCTACTTCTCTCCCTCATATGCTCTCCTTGAACCAATTCATATCAAAACCTGCATGTGATGCTGCCCACTCTGAACTCCATGCGGGCTCGTAAGCCCAACCTGTACCTAACATGCGTGTGCCGACGATACGAGCTCGAGAAGGAGGATAACGAACATGTCTGGAAATGTCCCTTGGCAGCCGAGACCACCACTGAAATCTAGAAGGAGGCCATGGGCGAGATTGACAAGTGGGGTGTGCAGGCGACAAACAGCTACAACGCAGCCAGGAAACGGGAACACAAACGCGCGGTGGACAGGGTCGTCAGGTACCGAGGCCAGTACCCATACACTGGCGGCCCCTTTCGGATGTGGATCATGTACGAGGATTCTCCTCCATCGGTGGAGCTCGAGCCGTGCACAGCGGTAGTCCTGCTCCCAATCGCGACGAGAACCCGACGTGTAACGTGTCGGATATCCTCCGCGTCATTACTCCCACAAGCATGTTGACTGAATGGTCCGCGGTCTTCCGGACCCCAATGTCCATCGCCAAGGCGGAACTGCATAAGTTTGTTAGGAAGGAGGAGGTTGTGAATGATGGAGAGGCTAGGAAGAATCCCCTTCATTTGTATCTAGTTTTATATTCTTCCGTTTAAGCCGTGAAGAGCATCGATAATTGTTGTGCAGAGCCAGGTTCTGGACCGGACTGCAACTGGTGGATGATGCGCTGAAAAGCTTGGTTTGTAGTCCCCTTTTACTTCCAAATGACTTCTCTATGCTGTTTGTCAGAGAAATAAAATTGTGCACGAAAAAAGATATCCTTGAACCAATTAATCATAGACTTGGGAGGAAGGGAATTAGAGGCCAAGAGTAGAAGACGGCCCTCTTGGGCCCAATCGGGATCTTCCAAGAAAAAAAGCACACGATTGACACACCGCATCCTATTGCTTGCTTGTTCTATACCGCCCGTTGGAATGGCGTTACACATCTCTTTCTTCACTCTGGCCAAAACTGCGGATTTTCCATGCAGGCATGTCAGAGTAGGTCCACGGTGCCAACACGTCCAACAATGTCTTAGTAATAACGTGGCGCTCTTCTTTTTTCCTTCGTTTGGTTTACTGCCAGAGGGTGAAGGTTGAAGGGCAATTAAGGGCGAACATGAGGATCCTCTGATAGCGTGTGCTTCGCAGTGACCATCTGTTAACAGGGGGTAAGAGACAGACATGCCGCGTACAGTACTTTATGGAAGGATTTGTCAGTCGTTCATTTCCAGCATATTTCTTCTTATGAAAAGTTTTTTTGATCGAATAAGCCATCACGGCGGCGAAGGAGTTCCTCTCTCTCTCTCTCTCTCTCTCTTGACAACCTTGACAGAAAAGCGGCATCCATTACTCCTCCAATCCGATCATGCCATCTCAGATTGGGATGTAATGAATTGCCGCTTGTCCGAGAAAGACAAATCCGTAATTCACTCGGTACGCAAGAGGATCTAGTCATATCGCATCGCCAATTTCTTTTCCCTTCAGTTTCACCCCATGTGTTTGTCTAATTGATCGAAAGTGCCTTTTCATTGAGCGTATGGCTTGTCTGTTTAGGTTTTGGCGACTAACAAAATCAAACTGCGGGCAGGTCATTTCTTACCAATTCCTTTTCTTCACTTTACCCACAACGCACATATCAACAACAACTACTCCCACTCCTTTCGTCAAAGGATAACTAAACAACAAATACACTCACATGAGCGTCAACCCTTCACCATGGAGCACTGAAACCACTACACGCTTTGTTGACACCCCCCTCGTCAACAACACCATTCTTACCAACAACATGAACACTTCCACTAAAGCAACAACCACGGGCGACCCTATCAAAGATTGGATCGACAACATGATGGCCGATGGCGAGTTCGCAATCTGCCTCGGTTTGCCAGCATTGACCCTCTTTGGCGGGTACTTGTACCGCTGCTGGTGGCTCCGGACTCATCGCCATCCTCACCTCTATGGACGGACTACGTGGATCTATTGGCCGACGCAGGCCTTGCTTGCTGCTGGGTGTGCGTCGCTTTTGATGCTTTTGAGGACTCTTCTGAAGTCTCCTTATGACTCTAACGGCCTCTTGATGTCTGTCTGGGCTTTGCTTCTTCTTTCGGTAACCATTTAGCTTTTTTTTGTACATGTTTGTGTATTGTTACACTCAATACTTCATTACCACCTCTGAATGCATATCTTTTGACAGACCCCTAACAACACCCTTGTCCATGCTTTCATTTTGGGAATAGTTCACGGCGATCGAGTTGAACAAGAGGGAACACAAGTACGAGATCCGATCGTCAGACGCTCTCTTCGTCGCATATGTCACCACCCTCTTAACCAGCACCCTCTCCCTCTACATCCTCCACACCGACTCTTCACACAACAACGACAACGGAGCCTCCATCCGCTACCTCGGTGGATTCACCATCTCCTTCGCCCTAGCCTTTGTCGTCGAAGCGGCGCCCCGGTCCAACACCTCCGCCCAGATTGAGAGCAGGAAACGCGAGAACTTGTCCGCCTTTGATCAGGCCAACCTCTGCTCCCGAAGGGCCTTCCATTTCATCCAGGATGTTGTCTCTGCGGGTGCCAAGCGAACACTGGTCGCTGAGGATATTGAGAATACCATCTCCAAGGGCCTCTTGACCCATGAGAGCTACGAGACTGTCTCTGTGGCCTGGGACCGAGAAGTTCAGAAAGCTAAGGCTGCTAACAGACAACCTTCATTGACGCGGGCAGGTCTGTGGGCGTATTGGCGTCGGATCATAAGTTCTTGATCCTCCGTGTAGCCGCTGCGGCTATCGGATTCTACCCAACTGTCCTTTTTGGAGACTTGCTCCAGTTCTTTGTCGACTACCATGACGCCCCCAAGGAAGGACGCGAACCCACGATCGCCTACGGACTCACCATCGCCACGGGCATGCTCTCGGCATCCCTCGCATACTCGATCCTGATGGCCCAGAGTTTCCATGGTTTCTACGAGATGGGGAATCAACTGCGTGCGGGAACAGTGGCGATGATCTACCGCAAGTCGCTTCGTCTCTCCCCTCAGGCGCGCCAGAAATCGACCCTGGGCGAGATCACCAACCATATGGCGGTCGATGCCGAGAAATGGATCAATTGTGCGCTCTTCATGCCGTTCTTGATCCTGGTTCCCATTGAGCTGGTCATGGGTAGGTATTTGCTTTACAAGACTCTGGCGTGGTCGCTTTTGGAGGGTCTAGTGGTATTTGGTTTTATTACGCCGCTTCAGGGCAAGATGGCGGCGTTTATGAGCGAGTTCGAAGACGAGAAGTTGGAGAAGATGGATGCCCGTTTGAGGGTCATGACTGAGATCTTGTCCAACATCAAAATTGTCAAACTTTACGGCTAGTAAGTTCTGTTCTTTCTACCGCTTTGCTCTTATTTTTTGTGTCTTTGTTGTTTTTATGCATGCATGCATCGAGAATGTTAACCAACATTTTACATACGATAATGAAATAGGGAGGACGCGTTCCACAAGAAGGTTGACGAAAAACGAGGCGAAGAACTCCACGCCGAAAAGATGCTCGCCACTATCCGATCCATCCTCACAATCGTCTACTCCTCCGTCACCCTCCTCATGTCCCTCGCCACTTTCGGCGTTTACGCTACATACGGCGGGCCCGATTTTACACCCGGCAAGATGACTTCTCAAGTCGTCTTTGTTGGAATCGCCCTTTTCGCAAGGTTGAACCAGCCCCTGGGGATGATTTCACATACGATCTCGCAGTCGATTTCGGTGATGGTTGGTACGAGGCGTATTGCTTTTTGGTGTTGGAGGAGATTGACTCTTCGATTGTTCAGCGGTTCAGTCGGCAGTCGTCTGGTTCTGACTCTGGCTCTGGCTCTCCTAAGAAGAGTCCTCGACCGGTGCGATCGATATCGAGAACGGAACTTTTGCATGGGAGCAGAAGGTTCTACCTGCCGCTGCCGCTGCCGCTTTATCTGGTCTGGGCCCCTTACAGACGCTGAAGGAGAACGCCAACCGCTATTGTCAGGATCCAAGCCTTCGCCCTTCTCTTCGGCACCCGCAACACCCGGCCGCCCAACACTCGCCAACATCAACATCCAGATCTCCGAGGGACACCTCACCGCCGTCGTCGGCCGCATTGGACAGGGCAAATCTTCTCTCCTCAGTGCGCTCATGGGCGAGATGTACAAGACGCAAGGCACTGTCAAGGTCTATGGCGATCTGGCCTACGTCCCCCAACAGCCCTGGATCCTCAACGCGACTGTCCAGGAGAATATTACCTTCGTCAAGCAGCTCGACCAAGACCACTACGACCGGATCGTGTTTGCGTCCGGCCTGAAACCTGACCTCGATATGCTCCCAGCTGGTGACCAGACCGAGATCGGAGAGCGCGGGATTAACCTGTCCGGCGGCCAGAAGCAACTCGTCTCGCTTGCGTGTGCGGCGTACCAGGATGCGGATATCTACCTCCTCGACGACCCATTGAGTGCGGTAGATGCACATGTGGACCAGTACTTGTGGCAGCACCTGCTCGGACCTGAGGGACTGCTTAAGGATAAAACGCGCATTTTGGTGACACACGGGATCCATCAGCTTGAGGAAGTTGATCAGATTGTGGTGTTGAAGGATGGAATGGTCTCGGAGATAGGAGATTACCGGCATTTGAATCAGGAGAGGGGGGCGTTCTATCAGTTGATGAAGGAATATTCTGTCGCGCACAAGTCTTCGTCTTCATCGAGCAGGAAGCACCACGACAAGAATGCGACGGCGGTTGAGGCTGATGTGGATAGTGAACGGAACACGATCGTTGGAGACGATTCTCGGCTGGACGGTGGCGACACGGATGACAAGAGGAAGGATGACGATGATAAGAAGAATGGAGAGTTGATTGCGGAGGAAACTATGGTTGACGGAAAAGTCAGCTGGAAGGTCGCCAAGGCCTATGCCCGCGCCGAGTAAGTTTCTCCCTCCTCTTTTCTTCTCTCTGTCTCTTGACGCGATCTTTGTTTCACTGATGTTGTCTAATGATCAAAAAATTTATAAGGGCGAAGCAAACTAACGCGTTGCGATTTTTTTTTGTTATGCTTACCAAATAGGACGCTGAAGAACGTGCTCTTCTGTGTAGCCCTCTTCATCGGCGGACAATCCTACCAAATCGCCACTAACTTCTGGCTCCGTCGCTGGATCACCGACATCGAAGCCCACGGTCCAATCCCACCACCACCTTACCAGCGCACCCAACATCCTACTACCTTTACGGCTACGGGACCCTCATCCTCGCCTTCGTCATCATGGACGTCCTAGTCAACTACAGCGCAGAAGTCATCTGCGGCATCCGGGCCTCTCGCACGATCCACAGTACCCTCCTCACCTGGGTTCTCCGTCTTCCCATGTCCTTCTTTGATACCACCATGGGCCGGATCATCAACCGGTTCTCGTCTGACATGGCGGCGATTGATTCGCAGTTGCCCCAGGGGTGTAGTGGTCTTTTATCGTTTTTGGCGATGATTGGGGGTAGTTTGCTTCTGATTGCGTATTCGACACCGACGTTTTTGTTGACACTCCCGGTGTTGTTCGTGGCGTATGTGGTTGTGCAGGATTATTTTATAAAGACTTCTGCGGTGTTGAAGAGGCTGTTTAGTGTGGCCCAGAGTCCGTTGTATCAGCATTTCTCGGAGACGCTGGCGGGGGTTTCGACGATCAGGGCTATGGCCGGGCAGACGTCGAGGTTAATCCTTGAGAACGAAGCAAAGACGGATGTGACGGTGAACAGGACAAATGTGATTCAGCTGGTCAATCGGTGGTTGCAGATTCGAGTGGAGCTTATGGGTGGGTTGATTCTCTTCTCGGCCGCTGCACTGGCGATCTTGAACGCTGACAATCTGGATCCTTCGTTGGTCGGGCTCGCGTCGACGTATGCGCTGAGTATGGTCTCGATCATCAATGCCCTCGTCCGAACCGTCAGCGAGGTCCAAAACCAGTTGGTATCTGTCGAACGTATCATGGAGTACTCTGAGAAACCCACCGAGGCCCCCGTTGTCACCGGTGTCCAACTGCCCAAGAACTGGCCCCAGCACGGTCGAGTCGTTTTCAAGAACTACTCGGCACGCGACCGCGAGGGTCTGGATCTAGTCGTCAAGGATATCTCGTTCGCCGTCGAACCTGCAGAGAAGGTCGGAATCGTCGGTCGTACTGTAGCTGGCAAACCACCCCTCACCCTGGCACTCTTCCGGATCATCGAAGCTGCAGACAGCTACTGGGCCCCGGCAAGCGACCCCTCCGCAGAACCCACCTCCCCCCTGGAATCCACAATGTTCGCCTCCGACTCTGGCGGATCCATCGAAATCGACGGAATCGACTTCTCAACCCTGGGCCTGCGCGACCTCCACCAACACCTCGCCATCATCCCTCAGGACCCAACCCTCTTTGCAGGCACCCTCCGCAAGAACCTCGACCCCTTCTCCACCCTCCCCCACGCCTCCCTCTGGCAAGCCCTCGAGCGCGCCCACTTAAACCCCTTCATCTCCACCCTCCCCGGCGGGCTATCCTTTGAAGTCCTCCCCAACGGCGAGAACTTCTCTGTCGGCCAAAGATCCCTCATCTGCCTCGCCCGCGCCCTCCTCCGTCAGACAAAAGTCCTAATCCTCGATGAAGCGACAGCAGCGGTGGATGTAGAGACGGACGACTTGATCCAAAAGGCGATCTGGAAGGAGTTTGCGGATAGGACGATCTTGACGATTGCGCATCGGATCAAGACAGTAATGGATTCAGACAAGATCTTGGTATTGGAGAAGGGGAAGGTGAAGGAGTTTGCGGCGCCAAAGAAGTGATGGGTCGCTGTTTTATAGCCTTGCTCGACAGGCCGGCGAGATTCGAAAAAAAACGAGGACCATTATTATCATCATCAATATCATAGCATAGAAGCACAGTTCATTTTTCAATATATATAAAAGCTGTTTATATTTGGTTTATGTGCACTGGCAGCTCATATTTCTCACGCCATTCCAACCACCTCCTAACGGTTCAACATCCTCCGGACATCGGCCTTCAGACGATCAGACTCACTCAACGCCTGGTCCACATTCCTAGAAACGCTCGAGATACTACTGTTCGCCCTCGTCTGCGCTTCCCGACTCTCCTCAGTCACCACAACCGTCCCACCACCCGTCAGCAGCGCATTCGTCCTCGCGCTTCCAATCACCGACGTCGCCATGGTCCTGGACCGAACCGACGTCTTTGATACCGCAGTGTTGCCCATCGCACCTGTACCCTTCACATTCGATGGCAAACCTGCAGCGATGGGGGTTCGTAGACTAGCCGCGGCCGCCAATCTCGATGAGGGGTTATTGTTATTGAGTGATGATGATCCACCACGGCCGGTTCCGACACCTCCAACAAGAGAACTGGTGGTGGCGCTGATGCCATTGGCGGTTGAGGAGACAGTCCTGCTCAAGAAGGGTTTGACGGTCGAGACCAGATCCGTGAACGATTCTGTGATAGCTCCGACAGCAAGGGTGGCGGTCGAGGGTTGATTCGAGGAGGCGAGAGGCGGGGAGGAGATGGAGGTGACGACGCCGTTGGCGTTGGTGACGGGCGCAGAGAGGTAAGAGGGGGTGGAAGTTTGGTTGTGGAAGAAGGAGCCGCCGCTGTGGCGGTTGAGTCCGTTAGCGACTGCACCGTTGGATCGCGCTTTGCTCTCCAATATATGCTGCTTCATGGCCGATGGGGTCATGGGTGGCTCGACTGGGGTGTTTGAACTGCCGACGCCGCTAATCAAGTTGGCCATGCTGGAAGTTGAAATGGCGAGTGAGAGGCGTTTGGCTTGAGCGCCGGCAGCGCTCAAGGTGTGGCTGGTCCTGGGCGACGTGGCCGTTGAAGTAGGGGCCGAAGATCCCACAACATGCCCATTGGTAATCGTACCAGTCGACTGCAAAAGGCTCGGGTTCGTCGATGCAATCTCAAACAACATATCGGACGACGCTCCACTGGTCACAGCCTCATGCAGATCATTCGCCGTCTTGCGCCACTTGTCCTCCCAATAGACCGAAACCCGTCTCCACTTCTCGACTTGGTTCTGCAACTCGAGCTTCATGAAGTCCTTCTCCATCCTCAGCTTGCGGTTCCAATCCTGGGCCTTGGACCGATCGATGCGCTCTTTGTCGACCTGGTTATTGTGCTCCTCCTGGATCTTCTCCATCAGGACTCGGAACTCGGACCGCAACGTCGTAACAGTAGGAGACTTGATCGGATCGTTGTTGTTAAACGACTTGATACCGAGCAGCATGGACCGGTAGTGTGTCAACTGGACCGTGAGCTCATTGTTCTTGCGCTTAAGCGAATTCGCCAACGATTTGGCCCCAATCGCCTGGACCTGGATATCCATAAAGTGCTGCACGACCGTATTGTAATCAAACAGGACAGACTCGAGCTCCCTCCGGATAGTCTTCAACAACCCCCCATCGGTCTTGGCAGCCGTGAGCTGTTTCTGGGTGGTGATCAGGACGCGGTCCTTGGCCTCGAAGCGCGCCTTGACGACGTTCATTTCCCTGTCCAGCTTCTCATTCTTCTCCAGCAGTTCCTTATGCAGGGCCTGGTACTTTGTCGACTCAATCCGGGCGCGGTCGAGGTTGCCCTCGAGGGCAGCGACCTTGTCCTGGAGATCATACTTCTTCATCTCCAAAGATTCAGCATGGGCCTCTGAGTTGGTCAGGGCGACACGGACATCGTGCAGGGTGACCTCAAAGGCCTCGATACGGCGCTGCAGGAGCGAGCACTCGACTCTGGCCATCTGGAGGGCATTGTCCAGACGCCGGTTCTCGTTGATGAGGTCCTGGTTGGAAAGGGTGGAGACATCGACTCCTGTGGACGAAAGTTCGGACGAGAGATCGGTGGTAGAGTTCATAGTGTTCTTAACCATGGCGGCGAGACGAGAACGGTCAGACTCAAGACTGGTGACCTGATCCATCAACCGCAGACGGTCCTTGTCGGGCCGAGCACCGGTCTCTAGACCCTGGGCAAGGAGGGACGAGGTCGACGTCGAAAGGAGCTCAAACTGGGCAGCCTTGAGCTTTAACCTGTTCTTGACTGCCTTCAGTTTCTCCGACCGCTTGGCCCACGCAGCCTTCTCCTTGTCAGCCTGGGACAACTTCATTTCGACCCTCTTCTTCTCCCCCTCTGTTTCCTCCAACATCAGCTTGAACAACTCTTTCTCCGCCTCAGCTTCCTCCAACTGGTTCTGCAACGCAACCTTCTCCTTGGCCGGGTCCTTGGACTTCCCCGCCAACTCTCCATTAACCTTCTCCAGCTCGGCAATCCTGGCTGCACTCTCCTTCTCATTCTCAACCCTTGCAGCCTCAGAATCCATCAACTGCGCCTTCATGCGCTTATTCTCCTGCTCCACCAAATTCAATTTCGCATCCCGGATCCGCTTCTCGGCCATGACGCGATCCCAATCCTGCATGATCTGCTCCCACTCCTCGGTCTGGCGGACCTGGGGCGTGTACTTGGACAACCGATGCTGGAGCTTCTTGGCCGCGGGAAGATCATCAAACGCATCATGGAAATCTTCGTTATCAGTATCGGTCTCGTTGTCGCGGAAGGAGAGTTTCTCGTCAGAGTCGGCGACAGAGGCTGTGGAGGGGGTGCCGGTGCCGGAGGAGTGGTCGAGGGCGGTGGAGATTGAGGGCCCGTTGGTGAGGACGTCGTTTCCGATGGCAACCAGGGCATCGGACAAGTTGAGGGTATCTGTTGCTGTGGTAGTGATTGATGCTGCCTCGATAGTGGTGGGGGGTGACTCTACGGCCATGGTATAAGTTTCGCCAGCGTCTTTGTGAGTATGTGTTTCGATCGATCGGGCGGTGAATGATAGGTCTCTCGTCTATTAATTTCAGGGACAATCAGTGAATAATCATGTCAGTTATTAGGAAGTAAAGGGGGCCAATTCGGACAGCAGAGCGGGGTTCACGTTTTTGTGTCAAGTGGAAACAAAGCAATGAAAGACGACGGAATGAATGTAGCAAGGGAGAGGCCATTGACCAAAGCTGTTGACCCTGCTCTCAGGATGGAAGTGTGCTCATCGAACAAAGAAGGATGACTAGCGTCAACCATCATCTCGAGGAATGGAGTGGAGTATAATTATTTACCTCTGAGGTGTGAGGGTTGTGGAGAAGGAGGAGTTTCGACTTGATAAAGAGAACACTTGAGACCGACGGAGGAAAGGAGGGAATCTTTTATAAGTGTGAAAACGAAGGGCGGAGGTAGAAGAAAAAAGAGGGGATGGTGTAGGGTGTGGAGGAAAGAAACAAAGAGTGGAAGAGAAAAGAAGAAGAGAGCAGAAAAAGTGACAAGACCATTTCGTCTTTAGTAATAAAGAAAACAAAAACGAAACAACGCCTTCCCCCTCCACACCACTCTCACTCCACTCCACTTGTCTTTGACAAAGCTACAACTCCAAGCCCGTGGGCGTGTCTCCTTCCCTTTACTCATGTCGGTGCTCTCAACTTTCAACTGCATCTTCTTTTTTGTCTCCGTCTGTCCGTCTGTTCGTCTATCTGTCCACATTTCAAGTTTATCCCCCGTCCGGCCTTCACTTTCAAATGTGTACTCTCTCTCCTCTCCTTTGTCGTTCAGCGAACGCCCATTTGCTTTCTTTTTGTCTGTGTTGCGTTTGTCTCGTTTCGTCTTTTGTGACCCCAGCGGTTCGATTGTGTGCTTGCCCGTCCGTTGAATGTATATGCATGTTAATACATCTCGTGCTTATTCAACCCACCCACAGACAGAGAGGCAGAACAGACAGACACATGAAGAATACTACGACCCCTCTTTATGTATATCAGTCATGTTGTGGCAGTCATCTAGCATCAGAACCAACTCCCTTTCCACGAAATCATGCCAAGTAGCTCGAAAGCCCTCTCATGAACTAACAACAACTCAAAGCACCATAAACTGGGATGAGAGAAGGACCGACTAAATAACAACAGCAATCGTGGCATGTTGTGGGTGAGCGAACTTGAGTCTACCAAGTGGTGCCACAGCCATCGAGGTCTTGACATGTGGGGCGGGTTTGTCTGATAGGCGAAAAGGTAGGAGGAAGAAGATAAACAAAAACCTTAGTTTTTCTTGTGCTCAATACGTTTCTCAGCTGCCTGGAATAGGTAAGGTACGCTTTCGAGCTTGGAGAGAAAGACATGGAGGACAAAAGACAGACAATAACAATAACACAAAGAGAGGATCAAAGAGAAGAAAAATGCTCTCAAGCCAGCCCATGGCGAACCACAACAAGGACAGTGTAAAGGAAGGAGCGGGAGAGACATACACGAAGGGAGTGACACAGTACAACAAGACTGAAATAAAAACGCGTGTGTTTCGCCTGCACGCTGTGGGGTTTATCTTGTCAATAGTATTTCATGTGTCGTCCTGTCTGTTGTCTTGAGTGTCGGCTTGACAGAGTTCAGCTTGGGCGGCGATTGGATAGCATGTGCGATCATCAATTATACCAAGACATTTCCACTTCAAGCACATGGCTGACTGCTTGTTTGTTTTGTGTTCAAAGAGGCACATTTTTCTCTGCGCTTTCTTTACCTTTCTTCCTCTTCACCCTTCTCCCCACCTCCTTCTGCCACACTCATTCCTCTCCACAACGTAAGTTTACTTCCCTCATCGACATACCTCAACACACACTTGTTGCATTATACCTCGTCACACCATTCACTTGGGAAGAAGAAAAAACTGAAATGATGATTGCTTGCCGCCCCAGGCGGAAACTATAATGTCGATCAGCTTAGCACATATTTCTGAATCTGATTTCGTTTTTTTTTACCCTCTCTTACCTTCGTGAAGGAAAGAGAAGAGAACGACAAGAATGACAACAACCAGATACGGGTGGATTAACATTGGTGTCAATGGACAATTGATATTAACCATCATCGTCTACTTTATTTCTTTTGACAGGTATCTCTTCAGGATTCGATCGCTCAAGTGTTGCACTGGATAGTTTCCATCACAAGGTAATACATCGGGAACATGCCATCCTTCATACACACTTGACATGATTGTCAACAACAAGAGAAAGAAAGAGAGGAATGATGCATTTATCATGCTAATTCAGACCAAACACAAATAATGGTGTCAAATTCGTATAATCCTGACCTCGTCCCAATACAACCCGCAATCATCGCCTTGACGCGACTTCGCGGTTCGAAAGAAAGCAAGAACAAAGTCGGAAACTAATATTGTTTTCATTTTTTGTTCGCGTTTTCTTGCAGTAAGTAGGTCAAGCATCTCGAGACGTGTTTTCGTGTGTACAATGGTTATGTGTATTAGACAGCAAAGCAAAGCAAAAAAAAAGAAAATAAAAACCGGCTTGAAAAAAAATCAACGTAACCTGTAGCGAAAGGAATGGATTGAAGAGTGTCCTTTGTTATGATTGTTCTAGTATGCAAGCCACCCAATTAGTGATCAGGTCTTAGTTGAGTGATAGACATGATGTGATGGCCATCATCGGCCGTTGAAAAACATGCACCGTGATTTTTGGTGGCGCATTCTCAAGCATATTAAAGAGCTCTCTCGCGGGAGCTGCGAGAGAGGGAATGGGCAAACGTGGTCCAGACAGACAGATACAACAGAGAAGCCCATTAACGAGACTGCATGGTCTCACCATCGCTCCCCGGTCAAGTCCCGCACACGCATTGCGTGCGATATCGAAAGGCTACAATAATAATATGAGGGGTTGAGCCGGTCTGTAAGTGATGTGCTGTATGCTGTTCTTAGTTTTAACTCACCATGGCCATAGAGAGTTCTATCCTGCCTTGTCTTTCTGTCTGTTCTTTTATTATGGTTCATTCATATCCTAATTCCTGCGAGATTCGGTATCCACTCCGCAGGCCGCAGGCCGAAGGGAGATCGCGACGGAGAGCGAAGAGGGAGAGTAAATCAAATTGCTCACTTTTTTTCTGCAAAAAAAGCTGACTCTTGACCATCCATTTAGACCTATCCATCTCGCCTTGCAACATCAACAACAACAACAACAACCTTGTCGAAAGTTGAGAGCACCACCACCACTAAAACTTTTTTCCGTCCTAGTGGGATGGTACACAAGTATACCGTTGTGGTTGTTGTTGTTGACAAAGAAAAATAGCGATCAATGAAAAGCAAAAGGAGAGGCAGCCTCTCGTATCAAAGGAACCCTAATAAATCAAGAGAGAGCCGTATATGTTGTTGACCACAACTTTAATGAACGAGGTAGCCATGTTATTGTGGTTTAGCACCGTACCCACGCATACCCAATCAACTCACATATACCATACCCGCAATGGCAAAAAACAAATTGTAACAATGTACTGTACTCGTTTCATGTGCCAAGTTTGTGCGGGTTTGGATAAACCATCCATTTTCCTTGAGTGCATGCGCGAACGGGGCGACCGATGCTCTTTTTTTTCTTGATGTACATACGTACATTAGGGTCATTTCAATGTTCAGATTGCGGGAGAAAAGGGAGGGAAGGGAAAAACAAAAAGGGGCGCTGAAATAAAGAGTCAAGGGGCAGGGGATGGCGAGAGGTGAGAAGGTGAGAAGGAGCGCAAGGAGAGAGAGATGAATGGAAAGGCTTTTTTATCACCCTGTGCATCGAATCGATATCTCCCACCCCATGCGCAATGTTGTTATTTTTTTCTTCCCAACGGTAAACTCGCGCATATAGACAAAGACGGAATGACGGGGGTGGGAATGCTATTTATTGCTGTTGCTGATGATTGCGAAACAAAGAGGCAAAGAGAGAACGAGAAGAAAGAAAGAAAACTGGTTCACTCCTCTGGTAGGTGTTTGTTGGATCCCTCGGACGTTTCTTCTTTCTGTGTTCTCGTCTTTTCTTTGTCTCTTTCTTCTTTATTTCTGGTGTTTCCTTGTTGCAGTTTTCGATCGTTCACAACATTCATCGCGGATGTATTTTTGTCTTCTTTGTCTTTCGCATCCACCTTTCTCTTTGAGAGATAGGTTTGCTTACCCATTTACCCTTCCTCTGCTTTCATAGTATCCAAGAAGTAAGCAAGCCAGAAAGTAAGAGAGAAAACGTTCTCGAACAACCCAATTAAACCGTGTGTGTGCGGGTGTGGGTTTATTTGGTGAGCAGCTGCGAGAGAGAGATTTGAACCTGTTTCGTTGGATGTTTAGTGTCGATATTTTTCTATTATTATTATTAGCTGTTCTTGCTATTGGCTGACGGCCGATTACTCTCCCTCTCACCTCATTCATTATTATTCATTCGATTCATTCAATCATTCAATCAAAAACAAGAAACCCTGCCTGTTGCCTCTACTGTGCACTCCCTTCGCTCCTTTCCCCTGCACTGTGGTGCCTGAACCTGAAGGAACAGAAGCGAAGCCTCCCTTCTTCCTCATCCCTTTTTCTTCATCTCCTTTTCTTTCATCTCTTTTCTCTTTCTTTTCTTCTTCTTCTTCTTCTCTTCTCTTCTCTTCTCATCTCATTCCTCATCACCAACCTTCACCTCAACCCTCCCCTCCACTTTAAACACACACTCATCCACAATGAAGTTCATCGCTGCCGCCCTTACTCTTGCCGCCGTCGCCTCTGCCCAGATTCAGCTCAGGTAAGTAATACAAACCACCCCGTTATCCGCAATCATCTCTATCCGTCTTTCTACAATCACACTAAACATCCCCCTTCATCCCGTCCATTTCTACCAATACAGCGACCCCACTGAGGGTACCGTCTGGAAGGTCGGTGTTGCCCAGTACGTCCGCTGGACCGGCAACTGTGCCGCCATGGGCGCTGCCGGCAAGGCCGTCACTGTCGAGGTCGTCAACGGTCCCGCCGGAAACGTCAAGTTCATTGCTAACATTGGAACCATCGACTGCACCTCGACCACCAACACCTCGACCTCCTTGACCGTCCCACCCCAGACCAACAACGGACCCTTCGTGTCTGGCACCTACGCTCTCCGTGTCAACGCTGACCCCATCCAGTACACCACCAACTTCATCATCAACAACCCCGATGCCCCTGCCGCCTCCGCTGGCCCCTCTGCCACCACTCCCTCCACCACCGAGCCCACCACCAAGCCCTCGTCTGCCAACACCTTGATGGCCGGCTCTGCCTTGGCCATGGCCGCCCTCGCTGCCGTCCAGCTCGTCCTTTAAAAAATTGATACCTCTCTATAAAAAGCCCCGGACTGGACTTCGGGGTCCCTTTCTCTAACGCAGGCGTCGAACGGAAAAGCCTTGGCCTTATAGATGTAGGGAGGATTGGAGGACAAGGAAGAGGGAGGGTGATTGCAATAAGTGAGCAAATGTCGCACGAGGGGGAAAACTGATGAGTCCCCAATCCCGTATGGGGGTTGTTCTTCTCTCTTTTGCTCACTTTTTCCTTGCCTCTTCTTCCCAACAGGGCTCTCTTCCAAGTTTATCCTTTCCTTTCTCTGCTGTTCATCTTGGCTCTCGTTCTTTTTCTGCGCATAAAAATAATAACATAATACAAAAAAAATATGGGCCTCAATTGGTTCCTTTCTATTACTTTATCTCTTCTCTCATCTTCATTTTGTACCAACAACCACCAATAATCCCGACCTTAATAAAAAGTCTTCTAAAAAATTCTTTTTGTATGAACGAACGCTCAATGATCATCCTTCTCTGTAACGGTTTGTCATCCTTCAACGACGATGAGAAGAATGTTTGAGAGACGGCCAGGTGAGAAAGAAGGAATGGAAGGTGGGGAAATGGAGTGAAAATAACGGTACTTCACACGGCCCGAATGTTAAAACCCTCTCTCTTCCTTCTTCGGCAACGACCGAACACAACAAAAGACAAAAATAAAAGAATTCAATTGTGTCTGGTGGTACAATCGGTCTCGTTGTCTCTTGCCATGCGCAATGTACCCGCTCCCTCTCTTTCCTTCACTTACACAAACATAACCATGAGCTGTTTCTTTTTCACCCCTCGTCATCTCACTCCAGTTTCATTAAACATGCCACCGTTTTCTCTTTTTCGCACTAAAAATAATTTTGGTCCCTTCGTCCTCTCTTTGTACCTCGTTGGCTGTTGGCTTATTTTCTTTCAATTCATGCATTCTTCTTTTTCAGCTTTCTTGTCGCCCTTTCATGCAAACAACGTCGTCTTCGTCTCAATCCAGGACGCAAAGAAGCAAGGGAAAGAAAATAAGGGGTGGGGGGATTGAAAATAGACGTTTGCATTTTTTATCCGGCTCGGGGCGCGCATAACGCAAAATGCCTAACCAGGTCATCTTAGTACACTTGTTGCAAAAACCACTGACCTTCGTCAGAGTACTGTACGTTCGCAAAGAGAAGCCTGAGAGCCTAAACACACAAGCAAGTTGGCACCCCAAGAATAGGGGGGACTCCCTTATGACCTCAAAATATGTGAGAGTAGCAATACAGAGGAGGGTGTGGTGTGTTGAATAAAAGTGCAGCAGAAAAAGAGGTGAAGAGAGTTTAGCAACAACAATAAACAATAGCAAAGACCCGTCGGAGCTCACTGGATACCACCCGATATACTAACTGACGGGGCGGACGGGGCGGAATTGCGAGTGGTCAAGCGGTCGTTTTTTTTTTTTTTTTTTTTTGCTTATGTTCATTTGTCTGCCTGTATGTTCTGTGTATGAGAAACATCCTGTTCTTCCTGTCAGTTCCAGATCATTGCCTTTTTGTCCATTTGTCTCATTATTCATCAGCACATAAGCACCATCATCGACATCGTCATCATCACCAAGAACCACCACCCCCATATCTTCTGCGACGATAAGTCTTTACCATAAAAACACGGGAGAACGAAGTAGCCAAGGATTTTAATTGTTCCCACCTATTCTTTTTGTTCCTTCGTGCAAGAGAACATAAGCAGACACAAAGAGCTGATCAATCAACTATTAATTGCAATCTCCATGTCAATACCATTCACCCATTCACCCATCCATAGACAGAGCAATAAAAAAAAGTCAGCCAGGAGCTAACTGTGAGAGCAATATGCAACAAATGGGCGTTCTTTGGTAGACTACCCTCCTTCTACATACTCTAGAAGTACCAACCTACCCACTCTCTCTTCAAGGTTTTTTATCCGTTTCTGTGAGCCCTCCTGCCTCCGTCTTCCCCTCTCTCTCTCCTTCTTTGTGTGCCTGGCTGGTAGCTAGCCGATTTGTCTTTTCTCGACGGACTGAAGTGAACATGAACACGAACAAGAAACAAGAGTGAGAGCAAGCAAGGTGACATCACGCGCGCATTACACTTCAAACCAAGTGCCTCGCTCGTCTTTTTGCTCCGCTCAAGCTGGTTGACTGGCAGGCGCTTGTTTCTTTATCACCTTATCTATCCATCCTCCTCCTCCTCCTCCTTTCTGGAACTTCCCGATCGACCCGCCGGCCGGATAATACATCGATCCATACCACACGACCACTGTACAAGGATTGTTACACTGACAGACAGCACACAAAAACCAGTTCTTGGTTTTTTTTAGATCGAATTGCAAGACTTCACCGGCACAACGATTTCGCATGATTTTTTTTTTATCTGAACCATCCACATATCCACTCTCACATCACAGACCCACTATTAATAAATAGGGTGGATGAAGTCATTGACATTCGCAAGGTGGGGCGAGGAAGGGGAGGATGAAAGAGGGGGGTCGTGCGGAAATATTTGTCATTTTGTCCAGAGAGGCCCTTTCTTTGTCTTGGTAACTCATCGTCCAAAAATACACTTTTTCCTCGGCTCACATTACCACCATGATTGCTCAAACCGAATTATACCCGGCCATTCTCATCTATCTGTCCACCTACGACCTTTGTTTTCTGTCCCGTATTGTAGCAAACTGGCTTACCCCATCAAAGGTACCCAATTGCTTTTTCTTCCCCTCCTCTTTCTTGACGCCCCTGCAAAGAAAGAGAGGCACAGACTGGAAATCCTCTTTGTACCACATGGTCAAAAATAGCCGTCTATGGCGATGTCCCTTCCTTCATTCCTCAACGCCCACAAATACGCCAAACAAAAAAAATCTTGGCGAGGAAAAAACAGGTGAGGGGCGGGTGAAAGGCTGTAGGATCACAAAAACTCAGAGATACATATTGGCGCCTTTGTTTGCTTCTTGGTTAATTTTATTCAGGAGTACATGAATGAATGGATAATAGCATGGTGGTTCCTGCCTTCATACCCTTCATTCACACTATCGTTTCTGTCCCCTCTTTTCAAACTCTTGCATTGCAGATATGTATGTCGGGTATCATAGGAGTCTGTCTTTGATGTTCAACCTAATGCAATCCAAAGAACAAGAGAGAAAAGAGAAGGAATGGAAAGACGAGAACAAGAAAGTGTGGATAGAGCACCCACGGGAAGAGAAGTGGTTGACAGGGTTTGAGAATCGAAAACTGATCAACAAAAGAGCAAAGGGGGATCATTTCTCAGAACCGTTATGGTTTTTAATCGTGTCGGTGTGACCCAGATATTAATGAGGTGGACACTGAAATGATGTGTTTGATGGGGGTAATGATTAGGAGATGGGTGGGTAAGAGGAGAAGTAGAGACATATGCGAGGTGGAGGACTGTAAGGGTGAACGACTGCGTGTGTGTTGGAACTTACTTTTTTTAACTGGAGAAATGCGATTGAGGAAGTGGAGGAGGAAAGAGAAAGGGAGAAGGTTGAAGGATTAAAAATATGAAAGGGAGTCGCGTCTGGGCTATGCAATTTTTTGGTCAGTAATTCAGCCCGTTCTTACGCGCTACTCTTACCCATCTTCGTTCGTAGAATGTCAACGACGAATAAAAATCCCTCCGCTAACACACCCTGTGCCCTCTACCGTATCATGATTGTTTTGTCGATTTCTGGAACGAATGACCACATGCCATCGACGCCATCAACATTTTCGTTTAGATACATCACCGGCATTTTTTTTCTCTATCGCGAACGCGATATCACCCTTTGCTTTCACCGCGCATCCGCAAACACTATCACCATCGCCTTTTTGCAACAGTTTGAAAGAAAGAGACGGTCAGTCATCTGAACCTTGCATGGGATCTCATAAGACCAAGCCGTTGCAAGCATACTCTTCTTTGTGTTCGTCTTCTGTCGACTTCAATCTTGGGTATCATGGCAAGGTGGTGCGACTCCTTTCCGGGAATAAGAGAAGATGGCAATGGATGTCAGAGTAACTAATCAGACATTGATGTTAAATTATCTTTCTCGAGAAACGGTATTCTGACATGCTATCAATGTAGAAACTCACCTGGAGGAACAAGACGCGAAGGACGAGCGCTGGACTATGGTGGGTGGCTGCTTTCAGCGGATTTCTGGTTCCGCTGTGCTGTGGATCTTGCACGGTAGAAAGTGCCCACGGCTTCGTTCACGCGGAGGTGTGGAGCAAGTGTGAGGTGATAAAAACAAATAAAAAAAGTGGTGATGGCCGAATATAACAATGTTTATTTGTGCTTTTCATTCCTTCCGTTTCTCTCTCTCCCATCTTTTCGTTTGGAAGGGGGAAGGTAATTGTTTTTCTGCTACAAATACTTGATCACAGTAGATGATGTGCAGCTCTCGACATTAGTGTGAGCACCGTACTTTGCCGCCAAATAGGGGTTATGTGGCACAACACAACAGTTATCGATCTCGAAATGATCTCGGCCAGCGATCTTGACCGTCGTTTCGTTATTGCGGCGCCGATATTGAGGGTATCTATTGGGTCCATTTGTAGTATGTTCATTAAAGGGCTGGGAATAGTCCTTCGTACACATACCGTTCTCCATGCATGGAGAGTTTTAATGTGCCGGTCCGCATGGGCCATGAATCATGGTTTTCGTGACGGTCTCATAGGCTGCAGGGTGGGTTGCTTGGTAGGGGATCTCGACTGAGATGTAGCTGTAGGGATTTTGGGTTTGTGTTGAGGAAGGCCACGCTTCTTTTATGGCATATTAAGATCGACGGTATTTGGTCTAAGGCTGCTGTAAGTGAGGGTTGTGATGAACAGCTAGACATAGAATGACCATACATCCAGAAGTAGTGTCCAAGCTGGCGGTGGAGGGCATCGGAGGGGTCCACTCGGTCAAACAAAGTACTTGGATAGCTAAAAGAACGGCTTTGTGTTGCTGTTGTTGGTATAACTTGTGTCGATGGCCCCTGCAGGTCGTCTTCGCCTTCACCTTCCA